TCCCTGTAAACTGGTCCTATTTTCTGATACCAGCAATTACGAATTGGTTATCACCTGGTGAGTTTGTAAATTAGCTATTACCATGATTACAATACTCTTGTGGCGTGAATTAAAAACTGTTTACTGCAATTAAAAGATGACCTGAATCTCAGTGAATCAATTATTCAATATTGACAATATGGTGAATTTGAACCATAATTTCTTGGCTATTGATTGCTTGGATTTATTTATAATTTCATCGGGAAGAAACAGGGCATTCAGTATTTTAAATTAGCTATCTTGAATAAACAATCCCATGAAATGTGGTTCTGAACTGTACATAGGCTTTGGAGATATATAGGCTGGGCAGTACAATCTCAATAGAGCAATGTGTTCGGAAAGGACCGTACTAGAGGCAATGTATCCGGAAAGGCTGGGAAGCTATAGCCTCAGCTTTCTGCCAAAAACCCCACATTTCTTAACGCTCCTTGCAGTGCCTAAGCTCGCCTACGCCATTTGTGAAATGATGAACACAACCAATGGTGAAGAATTTTATCTTGACTCCTCGATCAAATCTAGGTCACAAAACGTGTGATGAACAAGCTGTTAGTGATTTTAGGGGAACGCCTTGTTCATTACGTTGTTTTATGTGCAGAACCACGGCTAGCCAACTGGCATACATAATTAAAGACCACGCCTTGAGATCGGTGTTTGCGATTTTAGTTAGAGGCGTGGGAGCTCGCAACTGAACAAGAAGAAAAGCATAACCACACACAAATACTGTAGGTGTTCCTGTTTAGGGGGCTCTCAATCTTACGGGCGCGTCTTAAGGGGGCTGATTGGCTCTTGAATATTTTTCCAAATTGCATGTGCAGATAAATATAAAATAAATATTAATAAAAAAATCAATACACGGTTGACTAGTTTCCATGTATAATACCATGTAATTGTAATTAGGTTTTTAATATTATGGTTCTTTATTTTCTAGTATTTTAATTGTATATTGTAATTAGTTTTTATTGGAGGGCCCCTTGAAAAACAACTTCCATTGAAGGGCAACCCTCCCTAAACAAATCAAAAATGAAATTTAATATATAAATATATAATATAAATAGCTAAACTGTTGAAAAACTAGCTTGATCTGAATTGCATTTCAAAGTAAATCGTTAGCTCTCTATTTAAAGTTATTTAAATGTCCCGTTCTCTTCTCACCATCCTCTTCGCAAACAAGGAACAGATTTACATTTCAGGGTAGGCAGAGACACTCATTTGAGCGGTGGGATGATTCTAAAGAGGGGGGGGGTGGGTTAAATTGAGGAGGGTCGGTCAGTGCTCTTGCAACTTGACCTTTATGTTATCCGAATTTTGGTCTATTGCTGGAAATCATCTTACAGGTTTGCACAAGCATAAGAGACTTTTGAAGCTACGATTTCAAAGAGCTATTACAATGCTTTATTTTTATAGACTGTTTGCAATTATACGCAAAGGTGTTCTAATCCTGATGGAATTTAAAAGTCAAATAACTTTGTTTTTTGTTCCAAGGGATCAGAAATTGTCTTAAAGGAGTAAATGTAATCATCCGGGCGTTCCAATGGGATTAATTCTCCAGCCCCAGGGAAAATGCTAACTCTATTCTATGGAGTCAATACTGCTGTAAGTGAATAGGCCATTGGGCGTTGGTTTGACACCATGGAGTTCTGTTTTCGTTTTCATTCAAACTGCTCGTTTCTTCTCATACTCGCTTTGGGCTTAAGTTATTCTTATCATATCGATTTGTATGTTCGGTTCGTATGACATTATGATTTGTCATCGTTTGGTTACAATATAGGGTTAAAGGCCGGTTTCCATTTGATTCGCTCTTGTCGCGCGACTTGGCGAAATTGAATTAACAAGTCAGCGGATCGGCAAACGCGTTGAACTACTCGGCGAATGGTCGCGTATTCGCAGCGAATGAGGAAGCTCAATTTGCGCATGCCCCAATGTGTATTCGCTCAGTCGCGCGACCAGAGCGAATACAGTAAAGTGGAAACCCGCCTTTACTGCTTATATCGCAAGAGGGCATGTCAATAACAGATAAAAAGACGCAAACACTTTGTAACATATTGGCTAAAAGCTTTTTAGTGTGACATCCCTCACAGCATAAAACTTCAGAATAAGGGTCTGAAAGAACACGATGAAAATATATACCCAGTTGTGGATAGAAATAGGCCAATCAGAAAAACGCTTGCACAAGACCGGTATAATTGTCCAATCAGTGCCGCGTGCCTAAAGAAAAATTACCATTGGAGTTCAAGAGAGAAAACGAAATTTCCAGTTGTCCATCAAAAGAGCATGTCAGTGCTTCTCTAACAGCAATTGGACGTTTTGGAATCCGTCTGTGCGACCGTACATATTTACAGCGGACAATGAATGGATCAAAGATTTGTTGCCAGGAAAGGAGCATACCTCAAAGGAATGCCTCCAACAGCTGACATGCTTGTTTGCATCTCAAACGCGGAGTCTATCAAGCTAGCTACTTTTGTGCACAATCAATTCACTGATAAAAAATGTCAAGTTTCTAAAGCCAAATGAATTAGGTTGGAGATGGAGATACTGGCGACAGTTACGAGGCTTTTTTGGATGACTATTTCAGAGGCAGCCAAGAAATGTCAGGAGCTGATCTGCTGCCGGTGCAATAAAGGGAAAGGGCAGTGGTGTAGTGCTATCAAAATAACAAGGGGGCTCTTGCACAAAATGTTGCAAAAGACAATAGCAAAAGTAGAAATTTGCCAATTTTCAGCATTAACAAAGGGGGGCTCAGCCCCCCGGAGCCCCCTAGCACTACACCCCTGGGAAAGGGGTGCAAAGGTTTTTGCAAATGCGCGAAAGCGTGCCTCAAATGTACAAGTGTAGTGGGGATTGAGAACGTTAAAATTCATCTGGTATGTAGCCATAAACGATTCATCCAATATAAAATGCCTGTTCTGGAACCTCTGTTTAGAAAAGTATACTCAAAGTTTCAAAGAATCCTACAAATTTCAAAGTCATCAGCTTCTAGGTATCCTCTGGCAACCCCACCATTTAAAAGTAAAAAATTGGACACTTTTGCTGCTGATACTGATTTTATCTGGATAATGAAGTATGATTGTTGTCAAAAAGTACTTGAAACCGTATATTATACAAGGCCAGGGGGTAAATGGTAAAAAAATGCCTTATAATTAACTTTAAAATACCTGAATGTTTATCGTGTTCAAGAAGGTACAAAAATTTAGTATGCTTTCTTGAATAAGGCCCTGGTTTAAATTAAAAAATTGTTAGCCAAATCATAGTTCTACCCCCTGGATTGAGAAACTCTGAAGCCCTATAACTTTTTACGGAGACTATCATTTTTAGCTTTATTTTGCATGATCTTTCTAAAGATATATACACAAATGTATTTTGACATGGTGATTTTTCGTTCCTATGAGAGTGGCAGTCTGGCTCGTAAAATACACAAGCACTTTTGGTGGGTCCAAGGCCAGATCTTATCTTTGTTGCATAAACTTTCTTTGCCCAAAGTTTCATGATTTTACCCTTTATAGAACAAGATTTGCACCAAGTGACTCCGCTTATCATCTTGCAACAATTTCAAGAACCATGCCTTCTAACTGCAATGTTACGTTTTGATAACAAGGTGTTAAATTTTTGCTAGGGAGGAGAAATAATGGAGGTGGGCTTAATAACTTTGAAATTTAATTTTACATTTGTTTTAATCATATGAAAAAATGAATAGAAATATAATATAATGTAAAATTAAAATCTGCTTTTCCCATGAAATAAGTCAATACACTTATTTTTTTATAAGAAACAAAGGTCGATGTTGAGTACTAATGTTCTGGAAATTTCAATACTCATTGTTTCTTATGAGTTTCTTTATTATGATGTCATGAATGATGTTATGAAATGTTAGTGTATTTTTATACGTCTGATTGTTCAAAATAATGTTTATGTGGTCATATTGAAACTTTTCTCACAATAATACAATCAGGTATACCATCAATTTCCGTCCGAAAAACCGAGGATATACTACTTAAAAATCTATCAAACATAATTAACTTTTTGTTTTCAGTTTCGTATAAAATGAAAACTCAAAACTCCTTAAAAATATACTCGGTCTTTGGTGCATTTGCAAATTTGCAATGAGCTTTATGTAGGGACCAAGAGGAATGACGTCATTAAATTCTACAAAATTATTTCTCCGGATTCTAAGAAAGTAAACAACGTCATGTGATACAAAGCTCGTCCATTCTTTCTTATGGTTTCGTAACATAATTATAACATTACCAGAACATTCACTTTCCAATAGGAAACAAGCCCGTAAAATCATTAATAAAACCTTGGTCTACATGTCTCATTTCTCCTTACAGGTCATTACATTTTGTAGTAGTTTTTGCCTTCAATGTTACGATTCAGGCAAAGGAAATATAATGTGCTAGAATTAACTGAAGCTTTAAACTTTTTCAAAGTAGCATTCTCTCTTATAAATACGATATTTTCAATACATGCATTTTAATAAGAAACCATCAATAAAAAACCGACTAAATCATTTCCAAAAAATTGAGAAATCATGGTACCGATCACCTTTGACCAAAAGAAACTGCTCGTAAAAATATCAAAGATGATATTGAATTATTTCTTTTAGATATCATTTTTTATAAGGTTGGATAACCTTTAACCTTAAGAAACTTCTCGAAACTCTTTCTTTTAAAGATAGAGTGGAAACGGCTCATTAAGACGATTAAGTACCTACTTATGATTCAATTGAGATTTCTACTAGAAAGAGAATTACCTTGTGACTGACTGCAATGCCTGACAAAAGTCTTGGATCACATTTTAGAACATCGACGTATTTTGGTCATTCGCATTAGCAGTCCCCCCCCCCCCTTTAAACAATGTTGAGTTGTTCACCATAGCATTTCTCTATTCGGACAAAACTTGCAATTTCAAAACTAAGATGGAATAGGAGAGACCCAAACTCTAATCTATAGGAGCCTCTCTTCAAGGAGTCTAACCTCGAATTGAATAAATGAATCGTTTATTGGAAGATGTGATGGGAATAATAATTTTGGACGATTTGGCACTTATTTTATGTTTAATTGACATACATATATAATGGAAGGCATGATCTTGTGACTGACAAACTGTTCTTTGTCATGCTCTGCCACGTTACGCTTTGTGTTTCTTGAAAATAGCTCTTTGGCATTTGGTATACCAGAAACCTTTCATTAATAAGTAAATAAACACTTTAGCATCATGTGAACAGCCACAATCCGATACGAAATGAGCCCGGTATCTGGTGAGCAGGACCTATCCATAATGCAGTGGGGGAATATTTTTTTCAAGCTGAGATATTAAATTTCAAAAATTGAAAGCGATTCGTTGTAATATAAAGTATCAAAATTTAGGATGCATATCGACCAGTGACCTGATAGGATGCAATAAGATGCAATTACCGAACTTCGCCATCTTGTCTAATTTGTAACTTCCAACACATTCTGAGAACAACATGGCGGGAAATTTCCTTGATTTCTGCAAAACTACAAGTGAAAAATTTAGATCAAGGCTGCATACGGTTGAACAATTTGTTTTCTCTGCCATTTTTTGAATATCTCGAGACTAACAACAACAACACTGATTCGAGAACAAAAGCGTTATGGTGGGCTTATTTCGATACAAGCGAATGGTTTTGCCAGCAGAAGACAATCGGGCTACAAATCAAAAATGCATCTCGTCAAGCAGCTGTCGCAGCTGCGTCTTATACTGTTGATTGGAAACAGGTTTTGCCGCGAAAACGCACTTTGGAGACAACAGAACCGGCCTACTGACAAGAACAAGGCAGCAGATGGCTTCAAGCTAAGTATTTGAATAAAATTTTGTTAATAAATTACTGCTATTATCTGATGCCTGAAGAATTGTTGCACCATAATTCCAACTTTTACTGCAAAAAGCTAAAGGTAGGCACATTCCGGAGCAGCCAAGCTACCCGATTTTTTCAAATTAGAAATTGATTTATAAGGATCTAGTACTAACATGCCAAAAAATTTAAAAGCTTGAGCATTAGGCCGAAGAAGTTAAGAACCTGTAAAATTTCCATTTTTTTAAAAAAAAGATTCCAAAATTTGATTTTTCTTTGCAAAAGATAGCATACTTTGAATTTTATCTGTAGATCTGCGTTTATGTTCTTTCAAAAATGCTCAACTTCAAAACAATATGACAATTTTAGGTCCCAAAATAAGAAACCAAATAAGAAATTTTGGTTCTAAAATGCCAAAACTTAGATGCCAAATGAAAAAACTTTTCGTATATACTGCTGATCCAAGTTTCTTATGAAATAAAAAACGTTTAATTAAACTAAATTCCAAGCATCTGAAGCAAAAAATTCAGGGGCTTCTCTGCTCTGCTTCCTACCACCAAAGCTGTTTTTGAAAGAATATTAGAATCTCCGTACAAAATTGAAGCTTACACATTAAATAAACACACAGCCAAAACATTGTGAAATTAGTATTGACTCAAAAAAGTTGCATATTATCGTCAATGTGAGTTAGTCTTTTACATTTCGGGAGACATAATTTGAAATTTTATAATTTGAGTTGTAGAGTTAAAGAGGACGGTGCTTCATAACAGAGAACGTTTTTAGTCGAAAAACAGTTTTGAATCTTCGTGGATCTAGAGAACCTTATCCAAAGGAAATGTATTGCGAAAGGACCCCATGGAGTCGAGTGTTTTCGGGAAATGAATTCGACTTATTTCTTAAAAGTAAGTTCAGATCGGCCCTTTATGTTGACGTCATTTCCAACAAACGACAATAAAAATAAAGCATATTCTTGCTTATCTCGAGGGCGTTATTTGAAAAAAGGGCCACGGTAAGGTCTACTTCAAGCAACCGCAAAACCTCAGAATTAAATCTGTTGATTGGATATATAGAAGGCTATGTTGCTATGAAGTCATCGGAGAATCAAACTTCCTTCTCTTGAGATTGAAACGCGGCTTTCTCGCGCGTGTCCCGAGGATTTCTGATTGCTCTTCCCGTGTGAAATAGTATGAGTCGGTGATATTGTCCTAGACAGAGGGAAATATTATGCTAAAAATATTGAAACAATCAATTCTTGAATGAAACAAAAGCATGGTGAAAAGATTTCGAGCAAAAAGTCTGCAATAAAATGATGCAAATTTTTTCGACTTCAGTCAAGGCAGACGACATCAGAATTTTGGATTTTCCTAATGTAGCAAAATTGCGTCGTCTGTTTCTGGAAGGATTGGCTCTGAAGTAGGCAGGAAAACTGCACAGATGAAGTGAAGAACATAACATACCTTGCTTAAAAGCTCGACAGGGAGGCCAATGTTGCCTTTGATAAGAGAATTCACATTGCTGAGCTCCTCAAACGGAGCCGGTGTTAAAATGAAAAATGCTTTGAGGGCAATGTCAATATTTCTTATAAATCCTAGAGAAGCAAAGAAAAACAGCTCATAGCGCGAATATCACTGGAAAGCAATATGAAGTATAAGAATATATGACATGGAGTATTAAATAATGCAATATATTCAGATTTTAAACCAAAAGGGCCAGCTCGTACTCTAAAACGGAGCCAAATAAAAATTCAGACACATGGTTCTATTTTTAAGTTTATTTTGGTTGGGCTATGCAACACCCTAATTCAATTTACAGCATCATTTTGGAAAATGCTTCAAACTTCTAAGTACTAAATTTCTGAATTCGGATTAAGAACTTGTGATAATAATTTTATGACAAGGTAAAATTAAACATTCTTTAATGGATCTAACAGCGTTTACCAACTGCAGTTGAAAATTTTCACCGGAAAGATATTGTCAAAAAACCTACAATACTAGCACAAACAACATGAAAATTTATACCAGGTCTAAGAAAATGGTGGTTAATCTGAGCTCAAAACAGTCGTACAATGACGCTCTCATTCCTTACAAAAACGAGGCCGTGAATTAGATTGACGTAAAGATAGGAATTTCACATGACAGACAGGTCAATAATTACGTTCGCTCATCTATTACGTCCGCTAGGATCTGAAATAAGTGTTTCTAAGAAGTTGAATTCTTTGGTGACTAGGCCTATTCTTAGCGATGAACCCGACACCCATTTCCACGAAACATCACAAATAGAAGGTGTGCTCTTTAAAAAATTATGACGTCATCATCTTGTCGTGTAATTTGATGACGCAAGGTGGACTTCGCAATAATTTTGGTGAATTGTGAAACAAACCTTTTATTTATCTATCATCATCCCTCGAATTTTTTTTAAAGCAAAACCGCCTCTCATAAAGACAAAGACAAAAACAGTGACAAGTTAACGCAATATTACGAAAACGTACCATATCCAATGTGTTCCGCAATGGGAGAATTTCGTAAGAACTTGGGACCACCTGCTAAAACATCGTCGGGCAGTTCAATAATCTGGGAAAAATACACGCATTGATTTGGGTTGAATTATCATTTAGCAAAATATCAATACTTGAGAGCTTTTTCCTAGATAATCTCTAGCGGACAACGTCAAATGAGTAAATGGATTTGAAAACTCGTAAGACGACCGACTTCTGTCAATGACCTACAATTCTCCCACCAAAAAATTGAAACACGCATTGAAGCACCTGATTATTTTCAAGGTTATGAACCAGTACAGGGTCCACCGTTTAGAGGTGCTGTGAATCAGGACCTGTTATGTAAAAGTTTGATAGTTTAAGAAGTTGAAGAAAATTTCAAGGTAAAAGACGTTTTAGCAAGGGACTATTTGCAGAGGAACACAAAACCATTTGTAGGTGCTTTATAAAAAAACTTCTTAAGAAGCCAGAGGGCAGATAAAACGCAAAACGACGATGAACGATACATTATAAATGAACAATTCTTCACGGGAAAAACTATTTCGTCCTGGCATAAGGGACATACGGGCTGGACGATCTATTAAGCGACTCTTCCTTATATCTTTTGAAGATATGTTCCTTTAGGCTTTAAATGAAAGTTTCGTTCAGGATTCTAGTCAAGTATCTGTAAATTCGCATCGATATACATATGATGAAATCAAAAAACCACTCTACACGTAATGCTATGGGAATGAAGCAGTTGTTGAGAATTTTAGTAAAGCATCTGACAGAGCATTTGATTATGAATTGGACTCGTTTCAAGAATATCAATATTCAAGAACTGGGAGTGTCTCTCATTTTTTAATTATGTAACTCTGAAAAATCTTGAACGCGATTCATGAGAGTGAATTACTTAGAGTTATGCTGAGATATCACTTTTGGTAGAATTTATCTAGAAGACACATGTTCTGGAAACCAAGACGGGCATATCAAACGATCTTGCTCTCTCTGGGAAAAATATTTAAGCTTGGCAGAAGCCACCTATAAACATTGAGAAAAATCTAGGGATAGTAAGTTGTTTGAGGAGGAGGGTAAAACTGACTGGGGTTGTCTAGTTCTATAATCAAAACAAAAATGAACAGAAATTGTTGTTGGTGTGCTTCGGAAAATCTCAAAATATTAGTTTTAAGCAATTTTTTAGATCTCGTGTATTTCCGAGATTTACAAAGAATTCCCTGCGACTAGCTCGAGCTGTCTTGAAGTTATCAGGATTATTCAGGTTACATTTTTTACCAAATACAGAATGTCCCTTACCACATACATATTTTTCGTTATTGCCCAGTAATATTGCAAACGAACTTGAACACATCGTAGGATTAAATATACTCACATTGCCTGGGTTTACATAAGCCAAAGATACAAGGGAGAAGTTCAAGGAGGCCAATATCATACTTGGAGGGACCTGTAGGGGAAAAAGAAACAAAAGTTTAGGAGTTTTGTAATGATATCCTTAAAATGATGACTGTGAGGTACGCGAGTGCTATGGCAGCTAAGCTACACAAAAAAACTGGGCACGAACAAAGTTATAGACAGGAAAGGATAACATAAGGTTTCTCACAGTCAGCGTTTCACAACAGCTAATGACTCACCAAAAGCATTATATACAAACCAAAGCAACTCAAGGTCATACGATTGCTGACCACTCCTTCCAATCAAGTTATTCACAGTTTTAGAAGAAAATTCAGCATCTACTGACAAAAATTGCAAGAATATATTGCAAAGCGCTTCGGATTTTTAACAAAATGGGCGGGGATTAATTTCATAGGTGGAAGATATTATTAAGTGGAAGGTACTTATGGGAGCAAAGATTCACAAAACGAACTTTGCTGATAAGATATAAATTGATCACAAATTTAAGCAGAAGCTTTCATAATCTAAACCAATAACTCTTTTAAAATTGTAGTCGTAATGAGCTGGAGGACACCTTCTATCGCTGTTACCACACATAAATTCATTATCTTTTGCTCAAAACGACTTTCCTTTATCCCTGCTTTACTCCTTTCAACGAAAACCACCTGTTAGTGCTTCCTTATTTCCATGCTTAAACCTTCTTAACAATATAAACATTCAAATCAAAATACTCCATGTCAGGCTTGCAATTGCAATGATATCACAACAACGGGCGACCCTTGAAAATACAACTATCGTCCATACATTTGCTGCTGTAAGCATCCTTGGTGGTGGGGGGTGGGAGGGGGGAAGGGGGGTTATCAAAGGAGGTAGAAATCCGCCGTTACGCGCAATTTTTAATTGAAATCCACTGTCATTTTTAGCCAATATTCCGCGTCCCAAAATTGTTGATAGATGCTACTTAAGCCAAGGCCAAACAAATCGATTTTTCGCTCGATCTTTCTCTCGAATTTTCGCCAACAAAATGAAGGCAAAGAAACGCAAAGCGGCTGCCGTGCTTATCTTACATGCAAAGGCCCTTTTACATTCTCTTGACAAACTCTAGCGTCATAAGACCCCGGTCGTTCGTTTCAGGCAGTAACCGTAACTAAATACTTTATTTCGTTTAAGCAAAGTACTATTTTTAGGCATACTTTTGCTTCGTTTGATTAATTCAATTCTTAAAATGGAATTCATCACTATAAAAGGTCCCCTGGACCTAGAGGCCCCAGGGTAGTATGCTTCCCTCCCCCTTTTGGCCGCCCCGCTCTCGAATTATTAGCTATTTAAAAAATAATTAAGCATAAGAGATTATAACTGCGCACGCGCTCATTCAACTCACTCGAACATATTCGAAGGTGGCCAAACGATTCGATTTTCATCCGACAACACCTTTTTCACTCGACGTTTTTGATAAAGATCAAACTTTTTACAAGACAATAGATGAAGAATTCCGCAAATCCGCAAAACTTTTTTAAAATTCCGCATTCCCTGTATCATTTTTAATTCAACACGCGTCGAGCAAGTGTGGAGAATTCCGTCGTTCCGTCGCGAAATTGCGAGACTTTTGTCATCCGCGATAAATTTTCTTACAATTCGTTGTTCTACAAAGCTTGATAACCCCCACTTGATAAAACATATACAACCTTTTATGTTTGTTGCATATTAAATCCATGTTTCAGGCCTAAATTCGTATCTGCTTAATACGTCCACGTTTCAGGCCTAAATAGGCGGCAGAATTTATGGACATTTTTAATATTTATATAGATTTATTTCAGAATAATGAGACTCCCGCTAATTTTAAATGCATGATCAAAGTTTTCTTCATACTTATGTAAATTCTGCTTTTTTGTACAGAAATTCTTGCGAAGACTCTTCACTTCAAAGGAAAGAAGGTATGGACTTAAAGTCATCATGGCTAATCTTTATTCTGGAGATTCTAAAACGTTGGTTGAATCTAATAGGGACAGCAACGCCAGAAATCGGCTCACTTCCTCATACAAGACTCTCTGTTAGTTGGTGCAATTTTAGTGCCTTACTAAGGACCTGTTTTCTTGTTTCAATGTTTGCTACGAACCACCTTCAAAGGATACTTAAAGCAGATCAGATATGGTTTGTTTTTAGCATCTTGAGTGAAAGCAAAACATGATTCAAATCTTTACATATATTTGATTCACATGTTATTTGTCTGATCAACAGTGCAAATTCTGCGATTTTTCTGAATGTTGCTGTGATATTTAGCTACAAGATTTGCATCTCGAGATAGGGATTAAGATACCGCTTAAAAGATTTGAAAACACTTAGAGAGTGACTCTGTTTCCATTCAGTCGTATCTCTAAATAGGAATTTGGTCTTATGGATGCTATGTATGTATGTGTAATTTTGCCATCAAATTAAATCACAATTTAAATTTAAGAATAGGAAAGTGATCTAGTTAAGATGCATAAAATTTACAGATAAAAGCCAAAAGCGTAGTCTAAAAACATCCCAGGTTAAAATTTGTAATAGTGCTAGTTTGGATTTAGTTTGTTTTGCATCCTGTAACCTTAGTAATTTTATCACCGTTCGCACATTCGATTGTTTATAATTCCTTTTGTTTTCTAATTGCACCTTTAGATTCATTAACTATTTCTTTTGGGATTTTTAGTATCATTGTTCAGTTTATGTAATTAATCTTGGGACTAATATATTTTGTATTCACTATTATTATGTAAATTTACGTAGCTATGTAGCATTACAATAAGTTCTTGTTTAGTTATATTTTGGGCGTGTTTCATATAGAGTTAGTTTTTGAGTTGGAGTTGGAGTTGAAGTTGGAAATGGAATTCGGTTAGGAGCGATTAGGTTAAGTTTAGATATTTTGTATATTTAGGTTCTCGACGCTTTATAAATGTGGCAAGATGCTTGTGAAAGATCCTGTCGACATGAAGTATAGATTTATAGAATACGTATTTGGATTTATGGAACCGCGCGTGATGATTTATTGATTGTGCATTATTATAGTATAGTTTGAACGGACAGTGCTTGTGAAAGACTGTGCCTGTTAGAGAAACATTGTGAAGTTTATAACCTTTCGCGGAAAGATCACATGATCGGAAGATGGACGTTTGAAACATTATTTATTTGTCTCTTTGTCTCAATTCTCATTGAAGGACTATATCGACGGTAACGATAGGGTGGATGTATTCTTTTGACAAAAATAACCCTATTACAAATTGGCAGGGATAGCACCAAAAAGGTCAATACGATCTTGTTTCCATAATGCTCCCTCCAGAGGTGTTATCAAAAAAATGTGTACATGAAAAAATGGATTTTGTATGAAAAAACTGGGGAAAAAATTATTCTGAAAAATGTTAGCTAGAACCTTTTCGTTGGCTGATTTTGGGTTTTCAATAAAATATGTAGTGGCTATCCTCTTGACTTTGCAAATCTTCAAAAAATTCATTTTTGATCTTATGTTTGAAACTATTGACGTTCCTTGCAGATTTTAGTTCTGATGGTATATTGTTCCAAATTTTGGGACCAACATATGAGGCCATTTTGCCTTATGTTTTTTCTTCCGGAAAAGTTGATTCAGTTTGTTCTTTATTATCGAGTTATTCGGCTCTTGCCAACTGATAAGATCATCTCTGACATGTAGTTTCGGGCCGTATTATCAAAAATTTGAAAACCTTTTGTGTCATACATTGTTCAAATCTATCTTTCGTGGGGAGCCAATTTATATTTTTTAATTCTTTGATTCCTATATGTGCTCTGTTATTCAGATTCTAACAAAACCTGATATATTTATTTTGAGCTGTCTAAATTTTTTTGTTTAATGTTTTGTTTAAGAATGGAAACCAAGTACTGCTTGCCTAGTCAAAATAGGGCTGAATTAGAGCGTTTGCTAGCAATCTGCAAAGGGAGAAATTGATGTTGACAACAGAAAGCTTACAAAGGATTCAGTTAGAGAAGGGGTACAAGAGACGCCACTACAGGTATGGTATTGAGTGCAGGTCAAAACATAACTTCAAACAGTCCATTGTGTGAAATTACACTAACATGTTGATAAGTAGACATAGCCAAAGATCCGCAGGGCCCGCGCCACCGATTCTAAATGGGGGGGGGGGGGCAAAAAGGAGGGGTTACTTATGGTTGGCAAGAAAAACGTGGGGCATGGCCCCTGGCCCCCTTGTGGCGGGGGCCCTGATCCGAAGACATATCAAGAAACAAGAGTATACAAAATATATAGAAACTCAACCGCTTAGAAACTTTATAACAAAAGGAAGACAAGTCTCGAAACCTTTATGTTTTGTGATGTAATATAATATCATCTTGATGTTTTGTAAGATTACACTTCATGAAATCAGGGCAAACCAAATGCTTTTCTTGGTCCCGCTTGTCCCTTTCGTTTCGTTATTATAAAAGAAAATGCCTGATAATAGAAAATGAATTCTTAATCTCATACGTCGTTTTGTTTCAAATTAATAGCTATGATTCATAGCAGGCTGATAGAGCAATGGCTGAATTTTCCCTAGTAAACTGACGTTAGCGTTTCAAGACTTTCGGCAAGGATTGTATCTGTTTTAAAGCAGCTCGCATCACAATGTGACATCTTCATGGGCGCTAAGTTTCTTGAGAACGGAAGGTTTTTTGAAACGGGACGCTTTAAAGATCAGTTATACCTCCGTCTCGTTGTAACAGTGCCTAGGATGCAACCCCCTGGGTGCCAGAGTCTCTATTATTCAGTCGCAAAAATATAGTTCGAAACTAGCCACAGAAACATTTTTGAGCTCATTTATTGCCACCGCAGCCGTCTACCATACTTTAACCTCGGATTCACGAGTCTCTGGCACCCAGGGTAGGGAAGCAACTCCACAACGCATTAACATAGGCGTCGTAAATGGGGACTGGGGGCTTCAACCTGAGAAAGTTTTTGACAGAAAAGAAAAGAATAAGACAAAAGAAAAGGAAGAAAATAATAACGCAATATATCCATTCATTGACTAAATTTAAAAGAAACCGGTTTTTGTCCCAGGGTCTCGAGGTCTAGGGGGCCTGATAGAGTAATGAATTCCGTTTCAAAATGAAATTAACAAAACGTAATAAAAGTATGTTAAAAAATAGTAAAACGTTTTAAACTGTTGCAAAAATAGTATAATTTTGGAAAAATAGTATTCCTCGGATAATTCATCAATATAACATCAGCGTTAAAGCCAAATTTTAAAGTTTTGATATCAGTAGAAAGGGTGTTTTCGAAAAATGATCAACAAGGATGGCTCTCTCTATTACCGTAGAAGTGCAATCGTCAGTTGGCATGGAAGGAAGCAGTCGACGCAAACTGCTACTAGCAAACAAATGTAGGATCAATGATTCGTGATTAAGATTGATTTGATTTGATTTGATTTGATATCCAGACGTTTCTAAAAACATTATTAAAGAAAAGAGCACAGTACAAGTAGAATAGAACTCTTAACGAGGAGCTCTCAAAATATGTAAATAAATGAGATGAGAGGCCCCCCCCTTGCCTTATCCTATGTCAGAACCATAAATTCAAAAGCGATGCTAAATGATGCTAGTTTAAATTAATAACTGATTGTCGAATGTATCAAACTAAATCAAATTACGTGGTAGAGTCTCTGTCTAATGGCAAATCGTTCTAGAGTCGCAATATAAACGGAGCTCAAGCTAAATCAAACCCCATCATTTTTATCTAAACATACATAATATAATGCAGAGATCTAGAGAACAGAAGAAGAAATGGATGGAAACCAAGTTTATTTAACACCCGCACAACAAAAACAAAAAAGCTTTACACACTACACTAACCTGAGAATGCGCCACGTGTACAGCAACATCTTTCCAATACACGATTCTTGGTACCAGACTCAGAAACGGCCTTTCAATGACGTCACAACAATGCGACTGAAACGCAAGGTCTTTATCGTTTGGCCGGTACATGCGGGCAAAATAGGCAAGCAAGGAAAGTTTTCTGTAGTCAACAGCTTTCAGCTTTCTGGTAAGAGGAAACAATTTGATTAAACAAGCTGTATCTTGAACTTTGGAAAAATATTCCGCCCGAAGGAAATGCTTCAAGTTTTCATGCATTTCATTTCGTCAGATTTCAACATTCTCATATCTCATAATTAAAAAACCACTTTATGAAAATCATGAATTGATTGATTCTAATTGATTTATTATAATTCGAGATAGCAACAATTTTTGATTTCCTAGTATAAAATCCAATGAATTAAAAAAAGTACGATGAGATCTAAGGAAATTGTCATATTCGCACTATGACATGACTTTTACAAGAATACGATTGACAAAATCAGGGCAAAAGTATGTAAAACACAAAGAAACAGAAAATAAGGTAGCCAGAATAATTCATTTTCAATATGGCGACATCTTTGGGTGAGATAATGGAGTGGCTTACAGCGGAGCATGATGCTTTACTTCTCCAGTCTTTCTGGAGAAAGGGTTTTTACTCCTTCTCTTTCGGGTTATCGATATCAGCTCTTAGTTCAAATAAACATGGAAAATTATTTACAGGCACCGCGGTGGGTTAAGAAAAGTGGGGGGTCTCAAAATAAAGGGGGGCTAAAAGAGGCTTTACTGGTAGTTTATTACTTAATATTTAGCATTTTTTGCTAAAGCCCCCCCCCCCTTCAAACCCCCTGCTCTGCGGTGGCTAATTTATACATCTGTGTTGAATCAAAGTGTCTTACTGATTCTCAGAGCCCTCCTTCCTCGGGGTGTCCACAATGTGAAACTCCGTTCGGGATTCTATGCAGCTGGCAATACCATCACTGAAACAGATATTAAAAAATTGCATTGAGACAAAGAGTAAAAACGAATTATGAAAAAACCTTCAATGAGTTTCAAACTTTTGTTAGCTTCTGTGTTTCCTGGAATTTAAAGAGGATTTGCTACACCTAGCCTGTCTGCCTGTGTTCCCCTAAACAGTTTAAGAGGCGTTTGGCTTACTCCCCCACCCTTTCCCCTCACCCCTGAGATCCTCATGCATCGGGCCACTGTTGATTTTTGCCGTATATACAGAAATTAAACCGAGATACTGAGAACTTTGCATTAGTCGGATAAGCAAAGATGGTGTCGTGTCTTAAATAAATCTTTAAACTAGTCGGTAAAACATTTACAACGTTAAGTACAAGATTATCAAGTTGGATCTTAAAAGATTTTATAAGAGTTACTAAAAACGAAAATCTTAAACTGAATTTGAAAACATGAAGATCATCCGCTAAAGGATGAGCGTGTTTTTAAGAAAGAACATGTAGTCTTAAGGATGTTTATTTCTGTCTGGCTAAGAAAGATTTATCTTTTGCGATTTCTAGATTGAAGTGCAAACCAGTCTATGGACTACAACATTTTGATCGATACACAAAATTTAGCTTTACTTTCTTGCCATTTTCGATAGATTTCTGGACTGCCTGTCTTCATCTTTACGAACACAAGAAAGATACACACTAACGTCATAAAAACAACTTCATACAAACAAAGCATCTTTAAAATATGATCTATTCGTTAAACTGAAATCTGCACGAAAAGACATAGCAACCCAAAAAAAACAAATTAAAATGAGAAACGTTTAAAAAAGGACAAAAACAAAACAAAAAGAGGGCGTCTTGATCAAAATTTTTAGGTTGTTGATATCAATACACAGGGAGATCACTTATAGTGTTTTGTATTTGTTCCAAATTCAGTGGCTGGCAAAATGAGTCGAAAACATTTGTGCCTCAGAATAAGTACGAAATGAAAGAACCGAAAGCAAACATGGCTCACTTAATTAAACACCCAGCCAGAAGCTTGTGAACATGGGTCCACTGACAGATTAATTTCACTTCTTGGGATTACGAATAAATCAAAAGTTCCACCTGCAGCACTTCAATACTCGATCGACCATCATGTTGAAAGATATCATGAAAATTTGTAGCTTGATTAGCGTGCATTCACAATGTATCGCAATAAAACTCCATATGCAATTAAACAAGCAATGCATCATCTTCTGGATAAGGAAGAAAGGAGATTTCCGCAAAATGAAATTTTCGAAACACGGCTCAGTATGTCGCCTTTATATTAGAGCTTTATTGCGAAACTAAACGCTATCCAAACATAACCACATGTTGAAATTTGTGCGTTAGAATCTGTAAAAATCAAGCCTCGGACATTTAAAGATTTCACGTTTACCATAAGATAAAACAAATTTTCACTAATTTCTAATTATATTTCTTTGACTAAACAATGGAGACTCAGGGACCCAAGGTATGATGTACACACGGTTCGGAAGATCCTTATTTCCTACCCCTTCAATAAGGAATTATTTCATTCCAAGGACTGCGGAGCATATTACAGATTGAGGGGGCTAAAACGTTTTTTTTTGGGGGGGGGGGCTTAACATGCTAAAAACCAAGAGCAGGGCGATTTTTGGTATCATTTTAAGTACATTTTGGAAATTATAGGGGGGGGCTAAGTACCCATAGCCCCCCCCCCCACGCTTCCGCGGTCCCTGTTTCATTCCGTACACTCTAAACCACACATGACAATCAGGGTTGTTGCAGATGACAACATGATGATAAAAAAGGACGTAAATAAACGGGCAGGTGGCCAAGGATGAAGCTAATCTTTAGGTCTGGCAAGTTTAAACTTTAGAAAACATATTGAGTGACGGTGCTGATTACAAGGTGGAGGCGCTGAAGTACGATAGCCACACTTAAGACTTCAGTGAGAAATCTTTAGCTTTCTTTTGGCATTTGTACCTGACACTTCGTCATCAAATGTACTACAACGCCGTGAGGGGGGATTTCACAGTTGTCGGGAGAAGATGTGCCATTCAACCTGGTATTATTGCCTGCATTCTGGGGCCCTTCTATGCAAAATCAGAAAAATTTCTGCGATCAGCTTTCAAATATTGTGTGTAACATTCAACAATCAAAAATTTTGAAAATCATTATTTGTTACGAAAACCAACAACCAACAATTTATTAAGAAAACTAAGCGTAAAGAAGATCTTACATACAATTCATGCACGTTTGGCAATCGAGCCTTTTAAATAGTTCAAATTATTGGCAATGCATATAATGTTTATAAGGGGGGAGTTCATTTTTCACGATCTTTTTTGAGACAGGTTTTTCTGGCAATAGGTCTAACCACGATATCTGGGTGTATCTCACAAACATCGACAGGCTGAACGTAAATAATTATATAGGGCTTAGCTAAAAAGTTTAAATGGCTAATCAAAGAACACTAGGCCCTATCTTCTATGACGTGTAGTATTATCTTATCAAATTAGTTATGACTTTATTCGTTTAAATAGAATAAAGATACGGACATACCTCTCTTTAGCTGCGCTGTCAAAAACCCAGCCTGGCTGCGTTCGAACCCAGTCATCGCTTAATGGGGAAAAGCCACGGTCGGTCTCCGTCTGCGTTCTGAATTGCAAGACCAATGCAGGCCTTACAATTCTTATCACATCAGCCAACAAGGACAGGCCCAGTCCTGTTTAAAAATTCCAGTTGATTAATGAGTTATACTGAATGGCTGAAATAGCAATCGCTTCACATTCTAAGTAGGAAGAGGGATAGCTATAGAGAGCTTGCATATAGAAGGGAAAGCGAAAAAGAGGCTTACGAGAACGAGACTTTGAATAGCACGGATACCTGTACTACACAGGAGACTGCAACTGCTGACAACTATTTTGAGGTATCGGGCATAGTTTAGGGGAAAAATAAAGAGATTTTCAGATATCAGGTTTTCTTTGGCGTGTTCTAGATTTCTTTCTTTAAAATAGCTTTGAAAAAAGCAAACATTTAGTAAACTAAAGCTTTTCATCTGACACTCTTCAGAGTTTAAAACGTCATAACATAGACCGAAAACTCTAGCGTATGTTCTGACGTTTTAAACTCTGAAGAGTGTCAGACGAGAAGCGTTAATTTTCTACATGTTTGCTTTTTTCAAAGTTTTGTACCACCAAAAGATTGTTTGCATACTTCTTTCTTTTTGTAAAATTTTTGCAATTTTATTGAGAAACAAGAATATTTCGATAAAAGAATATTCACTATTCACTTTCAATATATTAAAATTCTAATAAACAGAGCATCATTTTACTAGAGTTTTACTTGACAATTTTGATCCTTTGTTATTAAAAAAATCAATTAAATTGAAAATAGTTACGAAAAGAAAACTCTGTTCTATGTTATTCCAAGTTATTAATGTTTGGTTGATTTATCAGCCACAATCTCAATACTATCATTTATGCATAACCTTACATCTGAAATGACAGCTTGTGTCACTGTTTCTTGGAAAAATTAAAAAGTGACCTTTTTGAACTGTTAATTTGATATATCCTCATGGCAGACCACCAGAAAAAGATAATATTAGTGCAGATGAACGTGTAATAAGTGTCGGGGAAAAAACAAGACCGCATCAATTTCTAAGGCTGTTCTGATATAAATCTAATTTTAGAGACAATATTAAGTTAATAACGGGAAAGGAGAAACAAGGAAAATCTAAAAAGCAGCTGGGATTTATCTGTGGGTAGTTATTATTCAACAGAATAATAAATGTCCAGTCAGAAATGATCATAAAATAATCTGATTTCGCGTCTATTACCTTTCAATGAAAGCTCAATTAAGTTAATTGCGAAGTTCTTGTAATTATTTATTGATCAATGGAAGTGGGCAAATCTAAGCGACTCTATCAATAAATGATTACAGATTATGCACCGATGTCGGCATTATCTTTTAGAGCAGCCTATGCTAGTAAAAGATCATTTACATACAACCTCAATACCTTTGAAATAAAACAACTGATAAAATTTAATGAAAAAGCAACTCTATTAAGATATAAAGCCTTCAATGTATTTAACTTCTTTCCCGATTTTCTAGGTCATTTAAAAAGCAAATCATCAGAAATGGTGAAATTAAAAACTTCTATGAGACCGCCAGCTCGCAAAACTGACTTAAAACGTACATTTATAAATCGTAGGCTAACACAAAGGACTTGACCAGCTATCGAGACGATTAACAACATCGAGACAATCAAAATAATTTTTGTATTTGCATTTTGCAATACAGGAATCATTTGAATATTAAACCAATCTTTTCTGTGCCACAGCTGTTGATGGCTTGCGCAATCACAATCCATTTGGTGAACGACGGACACAATATATCGAAATGAAATTCTTTGCACTTTTACAAGGGCAATCGGAGATTTTCATCAGATGACACCCAAGAAACTCTCAAAAGAAAATTTCTAAACATTTTAGACATCGGAGTGATTCCAAGGATGGATTTCCACTTACGCTGGGGCATTCGTCACCTCTTTTAGAAGCAATTATTACACGACATCACACACCCCTAGGAGGAATGTTTAAATTTTCTTGCAGTTGATGCATTTTTTCGCCTCCCCAGTTGACTGACAGGCCTAAGATACGCCAACCGTATCACAGCAGCCACTAGCAACGCTACCAGCCGATCTCTTTTAAGGGCATATAGTTCTTGTAAAAATAGGAACCAGTTTTGAAGCAGTTAGGATTAACGCTCCAAACGTAATGTATGGGAAAAACTGGAAAACATGACATGCTTCACACAAAAATACATCAACAGCAGAGTTGTAAATAACAAGTTTCCCACTCAATTAATCGGATGATTGCACTGGACACTTTCTGAGTATTATACATTTCTAGAAAACATACCCTTCATCCACCCTTGAGTGTTGACAATCAGCAGTCCTTGTGAGCAATAATCATCGATGTAAACACGAAAAGCTTCTTGGATGCAGCGAATATACATGGAAGGATCATCTTTTGGGGTGGTGTTGCCAAAGAACCAAGATCTGTAGAGCATGAATAACAAAAAATACAAAAACAAATCACATAAAAAGGCAATTTGATGATAAAGACCTGACAGATATGAAGGAACATATATTGACTTCTGCATCTTTCTTGGCAAAATATCATAGTTGTTTACAAAACGATGTCAAACAAAATATGATCTTTACAATGTATCAGAAAACATATTCCATGAGGATATTACTAATTCTACAATAAAAACGTTCCTGAATATGTTTAATTGTTTATGTCTTAAAAAAGCGTTTCAATTGCTACATGATTTAGAAATTATATCATTTTGATGTCAGAAAGAAGGCCTAAATTCACACATATTACATGTCTACTTGTACAGAAATCTTTTTTCGACCATCCACAATAAGGACATAAACTGCTCGAGGTTTGTGAATAATGCTAGCAGTTCTATGATTCAATTTCAATTACATGGACGATACTTTATTACTCAACGCAGCTTCACTTTTTCTCATCAACAGGGCATCTAAAGCATACACACGCGGGATATTTTGAAGAAAAGTCGGGAAACATTCCACCCTCCACAAAGGTGATCACCAGGAAAGGCTGATGTTAACTCTAGATACCTTACTTTCACGTTCTCCATACGATTACCAAGGCTGACCTGGAGTAAAGCAGTCTAGTTCCCGCGCTCAAAGCGCAGTAGAGGTAGGCTCAAAGACTACTACCAACCTGGAAAAGAGATCTAGAGATAGGGCATATGAAAGATTGGTCGTTGGTCTCCATTAGAAGTCGGCTTTTAAGTCAACTTACGCGATTGGCTTTCTTTGGTGTGTAAAAGGCGGACCAATAAGAGGTGTGTCCACTTTTGTTAACGATATCAGGCCAGGAGGAGTAAATTCACTTTGGCCAAGGTCACAGTCGAGATATAATACCACACGTGAACTGCAATGGAGAACAAGTGGAAAAAGGATGTATGAAAACAACGAAATCCTTTCAACTCAAAGGAAATTTTCTATTTTATATTAGAGGGCAGTGAGGAAGCGGGACAGGCTATTAAGGACAGGCTGTTTCTAAAAGAGATAGAAAACGCTAAGATGTGCTAGAAAAAACAACAATTTCTAAAAGAAATGTAAGTCGGAGCTCACAATTAAGAAAAGGAAGAAAGGTACGAATTGATGCAAAATTGGAAATTATAATTAATGCTCAGTGATTAAAAGATGCGTGGCAGTGATCTTCATTACAGATGGAATTGTTACCATGATTATAAAAGCGCAAAGCCTGGCTAAAAATGTTCATTTCCAGTGATATCTCTATTATAAGCTTTGATTACGATAAAAGATTTTTGAACACCAAATAGAACATTACTTGCATCTGGCAACAACTTAACCTTAACCTTATGACAAAATAAAGGAGTTGTAGACAATACAATGTGTGAATAATTGGAGCTTGGGTAGGTAGTAGCTCATTTTAGTGTAGTCCTGAACTTATGATGCACAAAGCCAATGGACTACACAAACTTTTAAACAGATAGCAACAACAAACGATGTGAAAATATTCAGTACCTCTTCAAAAATGAGTTCGTAAGGAATCTAGAAAATGTTGATTTGCCTGTGTTTTTGTTTCCACAAAGTAAGATACAGAAGGGAGAATCTAAGAATAGAAAAAATCAGGTGAAACTGTTAGATAATTAGAAAAATTGTAAGGTAAAATCAAATTTGGGTTTCAATATATATAAGAAGGACACTTAAATAATTTGTGTGGAATTTTTCATGAAAAGAATGACACACCTCTTTTACAAATGCAATATCTTTCACAAATATATTGCCACACACTTTCATGGATATCAATGCAGAGCCGAACCAAAATTGTTAGATGTTATTTGAATTTAGTAATTAAAGATTCACTTTATAACTAGCCCCTGTTATTAGCTGGTAAACCTGATTAGGAAAAGAGGGAACTCAGAGATGAAAAATTTGAGAGCTACCTTGACTCTTTTGCAATAACTGTTGAGCTTTTGCGATAACTGGCTTCCACTGAGCTACAGAAATGGCACTTTCCTGTTCAGAATGTGTGAGGCCAACCTATCAAACACAAGTATCTGTCATTTCAAAAATCATAACACAGTTTTGTTGAAAAATATTGATTCTCTATTTACCAATTAAATTTTGTACACAAATATATAATTGCAAATTATTAAATTTAACTTTTTTGTTTTGGAATAACTAATAAAATATCAGTGCTTGCAATCTATGGGGACAAGATTTGTATTGTAGAAAGATAGAAATAAGTAAACTTGTTACTATCTTGAATGAAGTAATAACTTTGTATATGTTTCTACAAAATCTGGTGCAAAGAACTATTCAATTTAGCAATGGATGAATGACCACCCAAATGGATTACCTAAATCAACTATAAGAGTCTGTTCCACACATGAAAATAAAGAAACAATATTTCAATTGACAAAAAGAATACAAATAAATACCTCAGGTGACCTGACAAAAATATGTTGGAATGGTTTGTGACTGCAACAAAAATCCACATCGAATGAAGATAATGTTTTTAAAAGCACAGCTGTCCTGTGCAATGAAACCTCTTCTTTTATTCTTTCAAAGTTATTGTTAAAATACTTTTCTAACATAGCAAGCCTTTCTTTTTGTAGTTTCAGCCTTGTCTTGCAATTGTTTTTCTCTTGCAAAAGATACAATGCTGATGTTTTGGAACAAAACACTGGAACAGGCTGATCCAACTGTGAAACATCATTTCCAAAAATCTCCAGTTGTCCTTTAATGACATGCAGCAGACATTTCCCACTTACAGGTACCATCTACAAAATGATCAGAAGGACTATTCAACTATGGATAATTTCAGAAGCAAAAAGTAATTTGTTGTCTCAATCATGATCACATAAAATGAATTATGAAGACCAATAGAACATTTTTTACAGAACAGGTAATACACAACTCTACTGCCATCTTATCCAAAAGAAGAAAAAATCAAATTTGTTGAATAACTTTTGACAAATTCTCTTCTTAAGAAAATTATGGTTCTGTATAAGCTAATATGGTACCTAGAAGCTCTTTTTTGCAAACCCTGGTAGTAGTTTATCAATACAAACTAGCAATGACATCACAGCAATTAGACATCTACCTTAGCCCTATTCTCTTCAATCTTTGTATTTTGGTTGTACTCATAAGATTACAAATATTCTGCAAGTCAAGGGATAGATCAATGTTCAATAAATAATAACAAATAAAGCTGGCTTAAGGGTAATCTGAGGGAAGACATAAACTCTGTTCAGTGAATCACTTACTGCAGAGTCATTCAGAACAACCAAAGCTACAATGCCTTCATCATTTGCCTTTGCAGTATAACATCTGTTGAGACAAAGTGGAAGTCTTAAGGTGCAATTATAACAGACAAAAAATGGTTACTTTAATGTTTTCACTGCAAATAAAAACAACTGAAAAGGGGTTAAAATAATATTTCAAAAAACATTGCAAATAATCACAGGATTTCAAGTAACAATGATTTCCATATCTTTAGAATCATTTCCCCGAACATAAGATCTGCCTGTCTTAAATCTTGAACCTTTAGGTTCTATATGCTTAAGCAAAATAAGTATTAAATCACATGATAAGTTTCTAATGATAATTCTTAAGTAATTCAGACATACATTACTTTGCTTGAATCAGACTTTGGCTCATCAAGTGCAACTGGGATTTCTTCTTTTGTAGTTTCAATTTCAAAATCCTCATTCTCACTGACATCACTATCACTGTTTGCAAAAGAATTTTCTATAACCATAACATCATCATCTCTTTCTTGGATTTTTGAAATGTGTCTACCATTTCTTGGAGTTTCTTGTACTTCATGTTTCTTAGTTATATGTGTTGATAACTGTACATTCGAATGTAAGATACTGCGATCCTTTGCATCCTTATAAGGTGTTGTTTCCTCTAATGGCTGGACCACCAGTTGAGAAAATCTGAAATCTTTAAGACTCTTATCAATTGGTTTCTCTTGCTTTTTCTTTGATTTGGCTTTTGCAACTTTGCTCAAGCTCTTAAGTTCTGTAACTTGCTGAATTTCCTGAAAGAATCATCATTTTTGCATCTAAATATTTACACATAAGAAATATACAAACAAGACAGTTGACATTTATCAAGACAATTGAGCTATGGTAATCAGTGGCAAAAGGGGCCTGCATCTTAGAATAAAATAAAAACTGTAAAAGACAAAGGGTCCTGCAGTACCTGAAACCCAAGCGGATGGTAATCAAAAGTTCCGCTATTTAGCGTGCGACATTCGTTTAGACATTCAAATAGACATTCGAATAGACATTCGGACTTTGATTGCTTCTTACAAAAAAACTATAAAATATATTAAAAAGATATTTCATAGAGAGAAACTTGGCTGGATTCTCTGTTGATTCATGTATCTTGTTCATAATAAGATGCGCTATACTTCCAAAGGTGAGCAAAAAAGTCGAAAATTTTTTGACACGGCCTAAATTTCATTGCAAATAGACATTCGGACTTTAATCGATTCGCATAAAAAAAGTAAAGCAAGTAGCCAAAAGGCCTTTGAATGACAGAAACCTTGCTGGATTTTCCGTTGGTTTTGATAGTTGTTTCTAGATGATACGTGAAATTATCGCTAGAATAAGGAAAAAACCGACTCATCAGATCTGAGTTATAAGGCTTCAGTATGGAGCTCGAAAAAGCGTTGCCTCAAAAATTCATCAAAACCGCTTCAGACTTTACGAGACCCAAAAAAACATCTCTGTCTCATCAATTCTAGTTGATTTAGAAAGTTTCAGCCGATTCCAAACAGTTTTTCTAAAGTTATTGCGGGACACCGACTTAGGTAAGTTTCTACTTGAGGGGTTTCCTCTGAGTTTGTTGTCGTTTTCTACAACTGGCGCTTTTTGCTGTTATTTGACCTAAATTAGAGATAATTTGTCACAAGGGTAGGTTTTTTGTACTTTTAAGTCGATTTAGATGTTTCACTTCAAGTATTTCGGTGTAGGTCGCTTGAAATGAGGGCCTGCTACGACATCGCGAGGGTCGGTCGCCATTTCAAACTTGGATCGTGTCAAAAAATTTGGAGGTTTTTTCCTTATTCTAGCGATAATTTCGCGTATCATCTAGAAACAACTATCAAAACCAACGGAAAATCCAGCAAGGTTTCTGTCATTCAAAGGCCTTTTGGCTACTTGCTTTACTTTTTTATGCGAATCGATTAAAGTCCGAATGTCTATTTGCAATGAAATTTAGGCCGTGTCAAAAAATTTTCGACTTTTTTGCTTACCTTTGGAAGTATAGCGCATCTTATTATGAACAAGATACATGAATCAACAGAGAATCCAGCCAAGTTTCTCTCTATGAAATATCTTTTTAATATATTTTATAGTTTTTTTGTAAGAAGCAATCAAAGTCCGAATGTCTATTCGAATGTCTATTTGAATGTCTAAACGAATGTCGCACGCTAAATAGCGGAACTAATCAAAACTGTGGTAATCAAGTGTGAACTGAACATAGGCTTTCAAAGAGACCTTGTATTATTTGATTTTTCTTGCAATCAGAAGTCAGAAGTTTAAATGGTGGAACATTTGCGGGGAACATTACCTGATAAACAGATATTATGACCAGATTCTATGAGGCATTCTTAAAAATGTGCAGGTGAAATGGAGATTTAAAGTTGTTGCACGCATGCATACGGAGCGCATTCAACAAAGACCAAATTTCATAGTGTAATGACTGCCGTCATACCATATCCCTTGGCACATATAGGTTTTTTTGTAATGTTTTTATTCCTGTAATCAAGTTCATATAACCTGTAATTATTATAGGTTGTTGTAAGTTATAAAATGTTGAATCGCGATATTGGGATATGAAATCAATGAACTCAGTTAAAAGTTGCAGCTATGTTGATTAAGCTTACAGCCATCTTTGTATGTATTACTTCACTTGAAATTTATGAAGCCTAAGATTGTGAATTATACAAATTGTAATTCACTGTTTTGCAAATAAACAGTCAAGTTTAACTATCGATCAAGTAGATAGCAAATTATTAATGCTTGAAGAAAACTAAACATGCACAATTCACAGCGAGAAAAAAATGAAACCTTGGAAACTTTCTTTTGATTCTGAGTCTTCTTTCCTTTACTTTTACCCATTTGTGGCTCCTTTTCGACTTAAAGGCATTTCTAGGAGAATTCTTCTTGCCCAAACATTTTCTACCGGCGGTCTCGTGGTATAAACAATTACAACAACATTCTATCATCCATGTTCCTACAGCCTCTTGTAAAATATCAAAACGAGACAAAACCAACCAGTCTTCCCTTGAAAACAAAGTAAGGAGGTTGTTGAAGGGAATTCTTGATCTTGAGCGTTGAAATAGATAAGGGCTACTAGTCGAGAAGCTATCCTTGTCAATAATGAGCTATTATGGTAGCTACAGAGAATGGAGAGAACTCGAGAGCGATCCCGGTAGGTATATCAAATATTTGAATAGCCTGGAATAGGGTTTCTATAGTAAGGTTTAACCACCAGTAGGCAATTGAGAATCATGCTGTACTTAACCAAAGTAGTTATGTTCACCAAACAACTTTTCAAAACCTTACTAAGAGTTTGGTGCTATGTTATGGTGAGCTTATGGTACTCTTACAGAAATTTAGTAATGTTTTAAAATATAAAACTGCCATTGGAAGTGTAAAGCTTGAAAATCAACCTACAAGTAACAGACTTGAAAGTGATTTTTAACAATGTCTTATGTGTCCTAAAAGCACTTCAGCTGTGATGGGAAAACAGGTCCAATTTTCTCCAAGTGCAGAAAGAAAGCCAACTTTTCAAACTTAAGTAAGCCCCTAAAAAATGAGCTCATGAACAGTGAAAATATATTTTAAGTAAAGTTCCAAATGTTTGTGTTTTTTGTTATCATGGGTTTGCTCCTAATTTTCCCCCCTTTGGTATAGAGTACCATAGTGTGATGTCATGAAAAGTCTATTTTTAAGAATTTCTAAGAAAGTCTATTTCAAAAATGTTTTTCAGATTTTGACTGAATTATCTGAACGAATGGCATAAAAAACCTCTCAATATGCAAATTCAGTTGGAAACGTTGAAAACTGGGTGAGATATGCCCAATGAAAGATTTCAAGTTTTCCAACAAATTACTGTTATTCTGACCTGGTTCATGAATTGATGGACGAAGACCAAATTACAGGGGTTTGATGGGGAAAAAGCCTTTGCTTATGTGGCCACATTTCAGCCAATTTGTAACAAAAAAAACTGATTTTGCATATTTTGAAGTATTTCATTCGGCTTGTTTGGACTATCTATTCAAGATTGAAGAATTCTTAAAATAGATTTTTGTGACATCATCACATCGGTACTCTGTTCAAGGCATTTATGCTTCTTTCAGTATAGAAGCAATATTTTAGTTTACTCAATGATGGATGCAAGCAGCCTTGGGCTGACAGAATTTTTACTTGTTTTGATTTTCCCAAATTTCCTTGAAAATAAAGTTCTGTGAAAATTCATAGAATTCAGTGTTTTGTTAATTGTTTGAAAATAAACCTCAATTTTGATCAACATATAACTGATTTCCAAATTTTATCATCATATTCATTTCTTTTATAATTAAGTTTTTATTTCCTCTTTAGGATTGTTTACTTTGCTTGTTCAAGACTTTGGTGAGTAGATTGTTCGCTTGGCCATAGTATTTGTTTGTAGCAATCTGCAGCCAGAGACTTCCTTTAGAAAAAGATACTTTCTTCAGCAAATGACTTCCAGATAAGAACTAAGTTTTTGTGTATTTTAAGGTTCTGTGTTTGGTTGCATCATAGCTACAGGTAACAGAGAACTTACCTTTTCAATTTATGTAAAGTTTTTGACTCCTTTGAAAGAAGCCATTTATGTTGTAATTATGTCAAAGTATACCCTAATGTGTCATTCCACTTTGCATTATTTGCATTAAAAAGCTTTGGTCACATATTATACTTTAAAAACAATGTTGTTTCATTTTATCCACAAAAACTCCAAGCATGTATTTTCTAATAAATTCTTTGACACAGCATTTCATGTGAAGTTTTTGGTTTTTTCTAGGTGTGAAGGGTGTTGAGGTGGAGGAAATTTATGACTTGAGTAAACCAATTGAAGGGTAAGAGTTCAAGTCCTATTCAGTGCTGGACCTCTCATGAATTGGAGGGGGCAGCTGCTCATTTGTTTCAAGACAGAGGCTTTTATTTGAGAGTAGCAAGCCATAAACCTCAGCATATATCTAGAGGTAGAAGTTCAACTGTGGGCTTTGATTTTTGCATGAACATTTATCAGCTTTCGCACTGTTTTACCCCCAATGGCCTTCAAAAGCAAATTATTGTATCTTTGAAGAGAAAGGAGTGTGGTATAAGCTTGATGTTTTTTGTATTGAATTTTCAATAATATAAGAGCTGAAAGCAAAAACTGTTGAGATATCTGATTAATCCTCACTTGGGCCCTTTATAGTTGATAATAATAATCATAAGGCTTACCTTGTAAACAAACAGCTGACCTTAATGCTGTTTGTCAAGCTGACTTTTCTGTATTTTGATGGCTTGTTTTATTCTAGACATGTATATGGATTGATTTTCCTATTCAAATGGACAGAAGAAAGAAGATCAAGAAGGAAGAACCCAACAAGAGAGTCATTCATCGAGAATGATGAAATTGTCAATAACATGTTTTTCGCTCAACAAGTAAGATTTATTTACTTTGGGTATTTATTCTTCTTTCTGCCTTGTTTAGTATGTTTGGCTTTAATGTATTCAGACCTTTTTTGGACATATATTAAATCCAATATATTAATTAGAAAATTTAATTCTGAAATTCTGAATTCTGAATTTCTTTATCTGCAGTTTTCTAAAAGCAAATGAAAAAACTTTTAAAGGGATGAAGTTCGTAGACAGATGGATAATACTGCGTAGTACTTGAGAATGTGCCAATACGGCAATATCACGAGTTTTACTTCTCATCACCAAAATACTGCAAGGGGATTTTTAAGAACCTGTCTTGTTCTAGATCATTCCAAATTCTTGTGCATCACATGCCCTGTTGAGTGTGCTACTGAATAGCAAAGATGCTGACCTTGGTGGAGCATTGGAGCGTTTGCAGGTCAATTGTAGAGGATTTGATCCTGAAGTAAGTCCTTGTTTCAAAATGAACCTGTAGATGCTTATTTCATTTGCTGTTGCACCACATTTTGTTGATAAATGAAAACTAACTCTGTATATACTTCTTAAGCAGTCAGTCACTGCCCATTTAAGCAGCTAAATTTCAAAATGAACTCAAATTTAGTTGATTGTCTAATTTGCAGTGGCACAACGTTTTGTTTATAAATGAAAACTAACTCTGTGTGTACTTCTTAAGCAGTCAGTGGCTGCCCATTTAAGCAGCTAAATTTTAAAATGAACTCATATTTAGTTGATTGACGAATTTGCAGTGGCACAACATTTTGTTTTTAAATAAAAACTAACTCTGTATATACTTCTTAAGCAGTCAGTGAGCGGCCCATTTAAGCAGCTAAATTTTAAAATGAATTCATATTTGATTGATTGTCTAATTTGCAATGGCATAATGTTTTGTTTATAGATGAAAACTAACTCTGTATATACTTCTTAAGCAGTCAGTGGCTGCCCATTTAAGCAGCCATTTAAGTAGTTGATTTCATTTCTAAACAAAATAAATCTAGGATCCCAATGCAAGCCAAAATAGATTTTATTTAGGTGGCTGGATTTGGATTTTCCTTTCTTTCTTTATTTCTATTTATCAATGTTTTGTTTTGCTTAAATTATGAAACTTAATCCTGTCCATTAAGCTGGCAATAGGTAATTCTGTAAACATTCACCTCTGAAAGCAGTAGAGCTGTCAAAAAGTGAAATAATGGTGTCTTGGTGCACTTTTGATACCATTAATACCACTTTCAACATTATTAGTTTTACATTTACCGTAATGTAACAGCCCAAAAAACCTCTGTGTAGATGCCCTTTGAGGTATTCAGTTCATTAAAAGTTTTACTGAATTTGCAAATGGTTTTAAATCCGAATATCTTATCACATTAGTTTTCTGCTGTTTTCTTTAATCTGTATTTTAAAAACACCCAAAATTTAGAGCTGATTTAGCATAAACTTAAAAAAACAAAGTTTATAATCAGAACTTTCTTACTAAAGCTCCTTTTTGAAACAAATCTGGATTATTGAATTTCCCCGAAATGCCATTAACTACTGAAAACGTAGATTATTATTCGGTATTCTTGATTTTTATCAAGTAAAATGATGCTTTATCCCCTTCTTTTAATGTACTTAAAGACTGAATATTGTATGGATAAACAGATTTGATCCTCTGTATCTTGAACTGTCTGTGTTTATGTAAGAGCCATTGAAAATCATCAGTCTGGCTGACTTTTTTAACTAGTTTGTTCGATTTATTTGCTTTGACAACTGTACAGCTTTAATTTTTGAACTTTTTGACCCCTGTGTCTATAATTGGTTTAAAGAAAGCAAAAATTATGTGCATTATTGCAGTGTTTTTTTCTAGTTGTTTTTTACAATACCATTTTGTCTTTTTAGACCAAAGGCTTTGCCATTGGCAATATAATGGAGATAGCTACAGCACATAATAAACATGCCAGGTAATTGAATCTTGTTGAAGGCTTTTTTGAAAACTTGTTTGCTGCATCCCAAATGAGTTATCACAGCTAGATCTTGGTTTTGGTTGTTTTGGTCTATAGCCCCCCCCCCCCCGCAATTTTTGCCAAACGCGTAAACAATTCAGAACTGCAATAGAATCATAGGAAATGGTTTGAGGATAACTGAAGCCTTGGTAACAATTTTTTTTAAAGTGGCTTTGAAACAATATTCCTTATTTTTTTCAAATGTCAGAAGATGTTTAATGATTCAATGAATTGTTAAAACGCTTTTTTGTCACATGCATCTCTTCAACCAAAATAATAGATCCTTTTGTTTGTTTGTTTGTTTGATATTTTGCTTTACTTTCTGAAATAAACATTAGCATGATGTCTTAAATTTACTCTTTTACAATAAAAAAGTTAATTTAAATGCATTAGTTTTATCTCCTTGATAGGAAATAACTCAGTTTGGCTCTTAGATGACAAATTATCAATGAGACAGAATTTCAAATTCAATTCCTCTGATTAATTTTAATCTTCGGATTCAAGCACCTGGGAGGTCTTATCAGCGTTATCCATGTTTCGATTGATAGAATCCTTCATTTTGCTTCCTGCGGTCGCTAATTATCGAATCTCCGTAATCTTGATATCTGATTGTTTATAACATCGCTTTGGTGAATAATAAACAATCCTAGATACCAATCTCTCGATAGGTCAGGTGGAAGTTGGCTTTCTTTTCATGCAATATTCGTTTCTGTCGAGCCTGTTCTTCTGTCCAATCGAATTGACTGTTCCAAAAATTTCATTTTAATGTTCCACTGTAAATATGAAATAACGGTGCTATAAGTGGTTGTAATTTTCGCGCAATTACAATAACTAGAAGTGTAGTTGCGCAAATTAAAGCTGACGGTTCACATTTACGGAAAAATATATTCAATATTTCTATCGTATTAATTTTGCATTTATTCTTTCAACGTATCTACTGCACAGTTATAATTATATCCTTTAAAAATATTATTGATCCCTGATAGAAAATATCACATGATCTTTATTAACCAGCGTTCCAAACCTTCCAGTGACCTGCAATCAAGAAGCACGAAATTAAATCAAGACTGTCTATTCAGTTTGCTATTCTAAGTAATTTATGGCCACGTATATCCAACTTGGTCTAACTTTAAGTTCAAGTGCACTAAAACAGACTTTATTCATGGAATATTTGTTGGCTGCAGAAAAGATCGTTCTCTCTTGTCCCATATCCGGGTAGTAAGGCTGTAGCATCGTACAAATGAAGTGAAATAGTAATTACAGTATTGTGCTATTTGTAATATTTTAGTATCTTTTTGTATTTTGATATTGTATAAGGTAGTAACGCAGCTTTTGGCATTGGTTTATTAACACAATTGACGAACTATAATCTTACAGATCAGAATTGAAACTGCAAATAGACAAATCCAAGAACCTCGCTTCGGCTAGCCGTGCAATGGAGGCTTTCCACTTTGTCAGTTTCATTGCATACGAAGACAGACTTATTGAGCTCGATGGCCTAAAACCGTACCCAATTGACCATGGTACAAATTTTTCTTCGCTTTTTGCTATAATACCGATAACGAAATCTTTGTTTGCATAATTAATAAACGTAAGAAAAGTCATGTCGAAATCAGGTTTTTTAATTATGTCGTTTTTGTTCTTTTTATGTTAGTATCTTTTCGTCATTTATTTTCTAATAATTGATTTGTCTCTTGAATTTTTTTGCACATTTTAGTTTTAATTCTAGATTGTACAAGAAATTTGAAACATTGCAAATTGTTAATTAACCAACTGCAACATTAATCATTAACAATTAACCATAGTGTGTGATTTTATCACCTTGAAAATAGGTTGAAGTTTTCTCATTTGTACAACTGTTTTGATAGTGTTTGATTTTTTGTGCAGGCCCTTGGGATAAAGACGAGACATGGTCTGACAAAGCAAGAAAAGTCATCCAGGAGAAGATATGGCTTGCTATTGCTGGGTAAGGATCGTCTCTACAGGACTAGAATTCATTGATACTTAGTCTATTAGAGTAAAGTTACTTTTCAGAAACTAATGTGAAGTTGGTCCTGTTTGATTGTGTCTCATTCGTACCAAGCAATGCCGAAGTGTGGGGTTGAGGCTTTATGTCACCTCCTTCGTTTTATGGAGTGAATATTTCATTGTGCAGGGGTCTGTAAAAAGGCCAGGGCTTGTCAGACCCGTACTCAAAACTATGAGGCCTCTTTCAAATTTTCAAGAAAAGCCAGATTCCTTTCCTCGTTTTTCTTGCACCCACAGTTTCAATAGGTCACGCAAGGCAGTGGATATCATTTTCCTATTACATTAAAAAAATTCAGCTTACCTTTATTCTTAATTGTTTTCTCTGAGTAATGGGGTATAAGTCTTCAATTACATTAAAAGCAGTTTTGACTTATGTTTTCTTTGATGAAGACGTTTCTGCAAATGAGTGACACAGATACGCAATATACAGCGGTAGAGAGCTTAGGATTTTCAAGTATATGGAGTAGAAAGTGACCTTGTACGTGGAATAGTAAAAATTGTTGTGCTATCTGATAATTCCATTCACAAGGTAGCTTTAAAGATTTATTGATTGCAAGTCTCGTTCAAGAACGTAGAAATTGTTCAGCTGTTGTTTATTTATTTGTGAGGGACTTCCTTAACTGTTATTTCCGGATTTGTAATGCCAATACAATGTTCTCTTTTCCTTAGGGGCATTTATTTCAGCTTCGAAAATCAACAATTTCCGTCGATTTTCTTTCTCAACGTTTCGTGATTTCTGCATTTATTTTCCGTTTTCCAGTTTTTCAGTACAAATGGCTGTAGGTTTACGCTTGTTTAAGGCTTTTAATTAGAGAAGCACGTATATGCATAGCTATTTGTTTTTCAGAGACACTTCACATGATATTCGCTACAACCTGATGGCTGTTGTCGCAGATCGCCAGTGGGAATACGAAAAGAAGCTTGATATTATGACTCATAACAGGTAAGGTGCATGTTAGCTGAAGAAAGGCTTTACGTCATATCTTCAATGAAGGCTACTTTCATCACAGCTGCCTGGTGATCGAATAAAGTGTGAAACTTGGATTCAAACTTAGAACTTACCATACGTCTAAGCCTGTACTGCTCTGCTTCTTCATCGCCTCCTCTCCGCATCGAGGCTCGCTGTGCATGCACAGCTCATTACGTTCTGACTAGAGATATATTCCTATTGGCTATTCCAACTCGCTCGGACTCAAATCGGAGTTCGCCGAGTCTCCTCCAATTAGGATCTATACGGCATTGAGCATTTTATGACAGACAGGTAAAACAGTAATTTTCCCAAAACCTTTAAATTTTGCTTTTTCGAAGCCTTTTTAAATTTCTCTCCTTTTCTTTCAGGAACAACTTGATCAATGTATTCAAAAAGGTATTGAACAAAGATGATTGTTAATCTATGCGATGACCCTCAGATGAATTTATTTGAAATTTTAGAAAATATTTAGCTCCCAGACAATCAGAAAGTGCCAATCTTTACGTGGAATGTACATGACGTCACCACACTCAACTACTTCGTCAAGTTATCGACATTGTCACTAAATATTAATTCCCTTCTTTTGTGCAATGTTGACACCATTTATACATTTAATTTACTTGTACTTATCAGACTTTCATCCACATCCTTATAATTTTGAACTGCAGCAACCATGTAGTTGTGATGTGGGAGGCTTGTTGCAATTATGTGAAGGTGTTTCCATAATTTTGGCTAGGATTTTATTAAAGATTGTACTTTCCAGAACTAAACTGAAGTCCAAGAGATATTTTAAATGCGTTTTCAACATTCAATATACGGAATTTTCTAGCTGAAACACTTCATTGCATCTAGTCTATATGTACCTGGGCATCAGTCAGAGGGCCAGATGTAAAACATTTCATTTTTAAAATATATTCAGATCGCCCTTATCCTAAAATTTCAACAAAGTATATTTTATCAACAATTTCCGTGGCAGTACGTTTTTCATAATTTGTATTTACTGTATCTCGCATCGTCGTTCTAATCTATTTAGCTTGATACGTGTTAACCATGGAAATGAAATGAATATTTCCTATAATGTAGATTCTTAGCAGCAATTTGACCTTTCTTTGCATTAAATAAAGCGATCCGTCAGATAGGATTTTTAAAAGAGTTTCTCGTTTAAATTTAATTCAAGCTCTTTTGAAAAATTCAGAAAATTATCACCTTAGCAACGAAAGAACTCAATTTTTGTCATCTGTCAGCTTAGTGGAAATATTGAGCCAATAACCGATCAAGAAACACAGTTTTTTGCCCTGTCCCTTGGATTTCTCTTTCCTTTTTTCCTATTTCTCTTTCTTTCAACTTTTAACTGCATTTCAAGACGAGTTATTTAGGGGGTTGTTAGGATCTATTTAAGATTCTGTTGTAAGGCTTCCATGTAATGTGATCTTTTTTATTTGTAAATAAACCTGGTCTTTTTCTAATTTGAAATGCAATTTCAATCGTGTGTCAATTCTGTGCTCTGATATGAATTTTTTATCTCTTCTATTTACAAGATGGCCGCCAACATGACGCTTACACCAGAGCCACCGAAATCGGGCATATTAAAGCAGAACGCACCCGAGGGAGAGGTCCTTGGAATACCCGAAGAACTGATGCCCAACAGGAGTCCAAGCAAGAAGGTAATTTCAACTTTATTGCTCTTAAAAATGCTAGTTTAATCTTTCTACAAAATATTGAACTACAAATGTTCATATTTTCACATTCCTATAAACAAATTTTTCACTTCTTGCATTTGAATTTGTATGATGTTAGCCTAGTAATATGAGAAGAGTTGCCAGGCCTCCGCAATTCCAGCCGTATTGATCACGTGGTTTAGTTGCAACGCGCTGAAGGAGACTCGGTCATAGTTCGATAGTCATCAGCCTTACCCCAGGTGCCTTGTTGAGAAAAAAGCAAAAATGTAAGGCATCTGCCTAGTGCCATTGAAGAACAAGAGTTTGTTTTATTGCTAAAATCGTTTTTCCTCCAAACTCGTTTTTTCTTTGGGATTTACGGTACCTTTGAAGTGAGGTTTCTTTTGCACGGGCTCTGCAAATGAGTAGTCAATCTAACCATAAAATTAGGCATTAGGAAAAGGGTTTTGGATGTTACGAGCCAATTGCTTATAAAACCTGAACTTATGAAATGTGTCATTAATGTTCACAATTAGTGCCAACGAAACATATTGGAAGATTACAAAGAATTTCTCTGTTTTTAGGTTACGTTTGCGTCGCAGCATGTTTCGGCCCCGAAGAGCACAGATTCGTCCACAGTATCAGGGAATGAATCTCCTTCGCATCCTTTTTCGGACAACGAGAGCGATGTCGAGTCATATCGCCTCAAGTCGCTACTGAGAGGCGAGATGAAAGGCCCTGTTATCGTTTATGGCAGCGGAGATACCGAAGTAACCACAAAAAGCATCGCCGAGAGCATTGGGCTAAAATCGGGGGACTCGACGCGAACCGAATTTTTAGACAACAAAAACCAAGACAACATAGGCAAAAGCGAATTTGGCAATTCACAAATCCCAATGTCAAGTAATTCGGAAAGTTGTACGATGGTTTCTGAAGAATTTGCGAAATGCATTGTCACTTCTGTACAGTCACAGTCAAATGAAATTCCAATTTCAGTTAAGATTAAACAAGAAAATTTGGATGATGAAGGTATTAACATGAATCAGAGAAATGATGACGAAAGCGTCGCAAAAACCCAAAGCTTTGAAACCCCTATGAAAACATCTGGTGACAGCCTATCGGCAGATGCCATTGCAGATTCGATGAAGAAACGAAAATTGGCTGACAGCGAGATTACAAACGACTTTACGTTAAAAGTAAGTATGCTTCGCCAAGTGAATAAAGGTATACAAATTCTACGCACCGAGCAATTTTTGTTTTTTGCTGAATATTTTTTTTCTTGCTATGATTTGATATTCGGTTATATGACATGACTAGAATTGAGAAAGTGCTTGAAGCTTATTGGGACATGTGACAATAGCCTATTGTATAACATGGCGCTGATTGGGACATGTGACAATAGCCTATTGTATAACATGGTGCTGACTGGGACATGCGACAATTGCCTATTGTATAACATGGCGCTGATTGGGACATGTGACAATAGCCTAATGTATAACATGGCGCTGATTGGGACATGTGACAATAGCCTATTGTATAACATGGCGCTGATTGGGACATGTGACAATAGCCTAATGTATTACTTACCCAATAAAGACTTAGGTGATCACCAGAATTCAACAAAACATAGTGCCTTGAAAAAATAGTTCAGCACTCGGATCGCACTCTATCATAGCTGACACAAATCTGAAAGAGTTTATCACGAACAGTATTGACTACTGTGCGGAATATCTCTTTTCCTCCAAACTTTAATTTCTGCAGCTCGATATTTGAAACCAACTGCATTGAATAACAAATGTCATGCCGTGCTTGTTGCTCGTCTTAGGCCTAAAACTCGGAACAGTGACGTACAACCGACTTGCTCTGTGCATAGATCTGGTTGACGTTGCTTTCAGTGTCTTAATGAGATAGACCCGTATGAATATATTTTTTGTTCAATATTATTATTGAGTTTTAATGTTTAGAGTTTTTTTATTGATAAATAGCATTCCTAAAAAGGAATTTTCATCGTCTTAAATGGCATCTAAACATGAAGTACCTTTCCACGCTTTGTCCAACATTTGTTGTCGAGTTTTTTTCATGTGGATTTTTTTGCAGAGTAAATCATTGACAATTCAAGACTTAAAAATTCCATCTTCATTTTAAGGATTTTCAAACAACAATGCAAGACTTGGAGGTAGATTTGAGAAAATCGCAAACTGCTTATAAAGACCAAAAGGACAAGCATGAAAAACACAAGGTAAAATTTTAAAGTTAAAGGTTTATTTGGAAAGCTGAAATTAAATTGCTAAAGCAGAATTGCTTTGAATAAGTACTGAACCTAACAATTGTGTGGTATTTATATTTATTAAAGGTAAAGAAAATTTGCATCCACGAAGAGACAAGAAAATACTTTATTTCTGCACGAAGCACTAGATATATGGGTGACGTCACATGATTCGATATTTTGGGCTTTGGTACTAGGATGAATTTGAGCTGTTTGGTACTAGGATAGGTGTTTCAGCACAACATTTTATTTAGCAAAATCGTTGTAGAAAATTGGCATGTTCAAGGATCACATGCTCTGTTAAGGAAAAAGGAGAATTTTTAAAAATAAAATTAAGCACGACAAGGAAGCTCACAATTATGTACCACAGGACACCCTCGGGTTTTATTTCTTTGCTTTTGGTCGGAAAAGGAAAATTCCATAGGAGTTTGTCATCGCACACGGAAGGAATTTGCTTGAGCTACATGGCAAGGATGATCCAAAATACCATCCCCAAACCATGCCTTGTTTTCTTTGTTTGAAAGAAGGTTTTTAGACCTTCAGCAAATATCTCGCGTGCACGCCTGGCAATAAAAGATAGGTGTTTTCATAAATCCTGTTTCTTTTCAGTCATTGCATCATATTTTCCAGGTTGATGATTGTCGTCGTCGTCATAACTACGACCCTTTCATATCAACATTTCTCACAATGTTAGCTGAGCGTGGACTTCTGTCTAAACTTCTAGAGCAAGAAAACTCCCTCGTGAAACGAGTAACAATTTCTTCATCGCATAACGCAAACAAATCGCTTGATAAGAAAAATGCAAAGAGGAAGCGGAAGAGATGAGTGTAGAGATAGATGTGTAAATTGTGTTGATATTATACTCAAATTATTTTAATTTTTCAAATATGTCTTAATAAGTGTTTGTCAATGTTTTAACTGTGATCTTTACATGTCGTTTCCTCTCTATCTATGATCTATGGCGATCTAAACATGATCGCGATCCTTCCGCATGATTACTTATGTTCATTCTGCATCTGATATAGAGTTCTAAAGTTCTAAATCTATTTTTATAACTTTTGAATTTGGATCCCATAGTCTGAAAGAGTATCATAAAATACCTCTAAATATGCAAAATCAGTCAAATGTGTTACGAACTGGCTGAGATATGGTCACATGTGTATTGGCTCTGTCCCCATCAGACCTCTATATTTTGGTCTCTATTCATAATTTTATGAACAGAGTGAAAATACCAGTGATTCGTCAGCAAACTTCAAATCTTCATTGGCAATATCTCAACTGATTTTAGACATATTTGACTAATTTTGCATATGTGGAAGTATTTCATGAAGATCTTTTATGTTATGTCGTTAAGATTCAAAAATTCTAAAAATAGTTTTTTGGTGACGTCACACTTTAGAACTCTATTGTCCTACCGAGAGTCCAGAAAAGTTATCAACCTTCTTTCGGCCAAGAAAATCTTGCTATAAAACCTTCCTCATAATGGGTTTAAAATGGCGTGGTCAGAAAACGTGTTACTCAACTAATCTTGATCTCCTGTCCTGGCAACTCTGCTTTTCTAAAAACATTTTGAAACATTGTATCTTGTTCTTAATCATAGATATTTTTGAGGCAGATGTAATGCTTTGTTATTAATTGATATAAATATCAATTAATAGCAAAAGCGCTTGTCATTATTTAAATATATAAATTATAATTAGTCAATGCCTAATTTTTTACAGTGCAACGCAGTTCTGCCATATTGAAAAGGAGGTTTATAAATGTTTCCTAACTTTTTGTTTTTTGTCCGACTGTATTTTGAAAGCCATAAGGCAACACGATTTTTTCAGCTTCCTCAATTTTCCAAATTTTTGGTCACCTTCCTCTTTTTGGTCACCGGCCAGTGCCCCTGGAGCCGTGATGTTTTTCTGACTCTGGTCCTATCCTGGGGAAATCCTCAGTTTTCTCTTAAACGGCATATTTTCTAACCAACCTGATGAAATTAGGCTCAAACTGTAATATAGAAAAACCATCATATCCCCCGACATTTATAATCCTGTCTCGACAAGTAACCGAACAGTTTTGGAAACCTTTATTTGTGAATGACACAACGAAGCATTTTCCAGTGTAATGTTAGATTTATATACCGTTTGTTTCTGAAGCCCGAACTCGAAAAAAATACGCTATATAATTTGGGAAATTATTTACAAACTGACAAATTAACAAGTTAACGTACATGTGTGCTAAAGAATAGGGTTTGATAAGAAGTTGTCTCAGTTTGTTTAGGTTTTGTAAACGAATAGAGATTCCTTAGTTCTAGGCCTGCAGCTGGCATCTAAATGAGTTGAATGGGTGCCTTAATTTACCACTTAACCCAAACATTTATTATTTAACCCTGTTGTTGATAACGTTATCTCGATGATAACACAAAAGAGATTTTTTAACCTATTCTCTATATTGGGGTTTCAATCTTTTAACAAGCATTTAGTTTAAACTATTCTTACCTACAGTTTATCTTTCTGCCTCAATATTTCACTAAATATTTAAGGTAAAATATTCCAGATTAAACTGCCAGATTATAGAAAAACGTTTACTTTTTTCCATGCCTCGATTATTTCATTTGTTACTTGGAAACATGCTTTATCAGATCAATAGGAAAAGTGAATTTAAAATACGAAATACATTTTAAATTTTTTTCGAATCATCAACGCAAATGACTTTGTTGAACGCTGTTCAATTGGAGCACGGTCTCTCGAAACTAAGACAAATTCAAACTACTGGGGCGTGTCCTCGTGCTCAGGCCTCGTTTCTCTAGCATTCAGAGTTTCGTCTTCAGATTGTGGTTGCCAGGCCCTCTATTTTAATCAGATGATTATCATGCTCCTCTTCCAGCGAAGACCAGCATCAACGGAGGCGCCCACCGTGGTATGCCAGTATTGAAGCTAGCTCGGGTCTTGGCTTCGTGTCTTAAGTGCACTTTCGCTGTCTCATTCATAGTCTGGAGATGGAAGTGACATTCTTGGCACAGTCTCAGGAGGCTCAGTTTCTTCTGCAATGAATCCTGCAAATAGGTGGGTACAGAATTATAAAATCAAATTTGTGAACATTTCTTGCAATAAAATACTTGTAAACAAAAGTACTATTGCAGCGCAAAAAATTAACAGAACAGACAAAGAGGGTCCAACTGGAAAATAACTCTGAAGTAAGAGGCATCGCCAAAGTGGGTGTAGGGGCTTGCTGTCGCTATCATTATGATTAACTCGATTTACCATGGCTCGCAGTTTTATATATCAACCGGCATGTCTTTTCAAACCCCAGTATATTGATGTGAATTTTCTAAGGGAAAATTTCATATCAACATAGGCTCCGACACAGGTTGGAAATGGGGGAGGGCGCTGAGGGCAAAGTAAAGGCCCCTATCAAAAGATTTTTGCAAAATAATCTTTGATTTGCAAGTGGGGAGTTGCCATAGCTACCCTGGCCTTTGGCGTCGGCAGCCCTGGTCAACAGTGCCCGTGCTCTAGTTTTTAAACCGCTAAAGAACATACCGTAGTTCGCCTTTATGTTCAGCTCCAGCGCACTATGTGACCTTTGTCTTGAAAGTGGTGGTTTCCTGGAAGGAAGCTGGTGCGAATGACGTCGTGATCTCCTTGGGGGCACGATAGGTTCCCTTGGGAGCACTTTTGGTGGTTGGGAAGCGGGCAACGTGAGTGATGATTGAGCGAAAACAGAAAGGCTGTGTCTTCTTTCAGGAATATGGTTCACCTGGAGTCTCTCATCTGAACCTTGAAATGACGGAGACAGCCTTGGAGGTGGGGTCAAATCCAGTCTTCGCTGAAAGATGACGAAAATTCATGTTCGCAAGTTTTTAGATTAACATTCCTGGGAATTTCATTAAAAAGAGGAACGCAATAATCAACCTGCCGCTTGATCATATCTTGGTAAGAGGTCCAGTGGTAATTTTGTATTCGTCAAGAAACAAAATGTTCATCTGGTACATATTTCTCTCCTGTTTAATTTCTCTCCACCTGGTAAATAATAATCCCAACTTTTTCATGAATTTCATGTTCAATTTTGTTGTTTAGAAGCATAATGATTCATTGGGATTGTCAGCGATAGTCGCATGAATGACTGTCATAAAAGGCTAGATTTTTTGATCATCAAATTGCACATTGAAAGCTACGCATAAATAAGAAACAAAATGACATATAGATCGATGAAGCACAACATACATTATATCTTCAAAATTTGTTTTACTTACAGCTGGGTGTACCGGCACAGGCTGTGAAAAGGATGGAATGGCTTGGACAAACGAATTTCTCTTTTCAGCTCCAGTAGACGGTAAGTAGAACACGTCATCAAACGGACTGGAATCATCCACCGGTTCGTTGGAGAAAGGAAAAATGTAGAAGGGGTCAGCAATACTGACTGTCGTTGATAATGTCCGTGATCGTGTTTCTGGTTGGAAAAATAAAAACTATCGCTTAGTTATCAATCTCTCTAATCGATCAATCAGATTGAAAAATAGAAAAATTGAATTTGTGACGTCATAAAATTCGACTTGAATTATCATTGCTTCAGGGTACCAGTCCACTATCTACCGTCGTACTTATAAGTTGAAATTATCATAATGGTAAAGAGAAGCAAAATGCTTCTAAGCCTAACAAACGAAGCATATATAAGGAAATCAGCGTATGCTCAATATACTCAATGATTTATCATATGAATCCCGTTCAATGAAATTTTTTCAAGCTTTTCGCTTGCTTTCGAAGGCCTAGAATTTTTCTTGTCTAGCAGTTATTTCACATACCTCTTCTTTGCTTCTCGATTTCTTGTCTAGCTCGCATCTGATCTTTCGCATATTGAGCCCTTGCTTTTCTACAAAAGCAAGAAAGTGCCAACTGAGAAACGCCTTGGAACAAAACAAATTGATATTGTCCCAGACAGTTACTTCTCTAAATGGTCCTGGTTATAAAGACCAAAGCTTTATTTGCTTAAAATTTAGTGCAATATTCATGCAGAACATATTTCACATAGCGTGCCCACTTGTTGAGGGAGAGCAATCTATATCAACACCTCCTGGCTGAGACAATTCAAAATACAATTTGTTTGATCTAAGCACTAGAAGCAGGGGGGTTGAGCATGAATGTAGAGATTACCTTAGACTTTTATAACGACTCGCAACAATTGCAATTACTGTGCAGATGACCAATACAGCGGCAGCAATTCCCACAATAAATGTGTACGTCACCCAATAGTCGTTATCTTCTTTGTTTTTGTTTCCATTGGCAACTGTATTTGTTGTAGTCTGGATGGTTGGTGCAATGATAGGCGTTGTTGCTGTTGGCTGTGGAGGACAAAACGAATCAAACGAACTCAATCAAAGTTTCTAATTCTAAGACAACATTTAATAGCTTCAAAGAAACCAGCCTACTTGATATTAAGCAATGATTAAGGTGAAGAATACCTAAGCAAAGCGAGTAGCAATAAATATGTATAAGTAATATCTAAGTATAATGACCTGGGATAAAGCCTACGCCGCAGACCCAATCCTTCAATCTCTTTGGAGAATTGGGTCTGCGGCGCAGGCTACCTGGGATAATGATTCTTTAGGTTGCATCCCCAATGAAAAAGATTCTTTATTCTGTCATTAAATGTCAAATCGAACATGATGAAAAAAGATAACACTAACCAAGGTCATTGGGCCTAACGTTCCGATCCCTGTTGTGGCCATGATTCTTGTTTTGCGGCAGTTCAGGCTGAAATAAAAATTCACATACGATTACCTTTAAGAATAATGTAATGGATTTTTCTTTCTGCGGAGCTGTCTATGGCTCTTAGATTGTATTTAAAAGATTAGTTTTCCCCATTACACGAAGATGGGATCTTCGTAGCACTTTGCAGCCCTACCTGGAGTGGAGATTACCAAATGAGTTTCGGTAATTATTTTATCTGAGTCCGATGGCTAAATTCTTAATGACTTTTCGACTTTAGAGGCCTGGAGCAACCCCCACCCCCTCCTCTGTAGTAGGATTTGATTTCTGGTTACGTGTTGACACTTATTATCCGCGCATGCTTAGTGTCTTGCCAGAAATAAATAAAAGTAGAATTGGAAAGTAGTTGCGAGGTATTGAGGTCGAAAGTTAAAGTTCGAGAGACAAAGTTTTTCTTAGTGTTGAACTGCTGATGTGATTCAAATTGTTCTACCGCACCTCTACCTTGTACCCATGTACAAGCTGACTCTGCAGTACTAACTAGGAGTAACCCTTTTCCATATTGATATCTGCTTCTTTTTACACTTTCTGTTCTCTGGTCTTGTAGAGACGCAAACATTAACACGATGAGCAGTTGGTGCACAAGAACACACAATTCTAAAGGCGCAAGGCCTCACTTTTATTGCATATGTGTTGCAGTATTCTGGATTACGTTTACTGAAATCAATTAGGAAAGGTTTTGTATTTTTCAAACACATAGAGAGAACTGCAGAAGGAATTCGAAACACTTTCACCGGGCCTGCTAGAGATGATATAGGCCACGCGTTTGCAAACTCAAATTACCCTTTTATCACATCATTTAGATACATCATGAGATGGCCTTGTAATTGCTGCAATGTACACAATATTTTGATAAAACAACAAGGAAACAATAGTTGAAGCAAGGATCCACCCGGACAGAGAATTTAAATGAACTTTCATTTTTCTATTTTCACTTCCATTGGTAAACAGAAAAAAATCATTCAATCGAAACGAAAGTTGAAGGTTCATGTAATGCAATATTAACATTATGCATTTCTAGAACTCGTGTATTGTATTTTAAAACTTTTCAAACACAGTCAAAGTTATTTTGATTATTCTTTATTCAAATTAATTCCTGCTTTATACCTTTTTCTGTACAGATGAAGCCAATTTTGATAATAGAAACCTTTTTTGATATTCCGAAAAACTTTTGTCCTCGTTTGAAAATAATCAGTTACGTAGTATAACACGCCAAAGCGGAAAAATCTGCGTAAAAATGTGAGACGAATATCTTCCAACAGACTGTTGGAAAAGATGACATCAAAGTATGACACGCTGGGTGATTATCAAAATAGTTAATCACCAAAGTGTCATGAGGGGGCCTTCTTTCAAGAAGCTAGATTCATTTCCCTGTTTCCATTCCACTCCCTTCACTTTTCCGTCTGATGCTAGTCTAATAGTCAAAGCAAGGCAGAGGGCCTAAAAATTTTTAAGATAGAACCGCGAGAACCGGTTTGGCCCCAGAGCCTTCTTTGCTTTACTTCTTTTGTTGAAAGTCTATTGCTTACAATGGATCTTTGATCTGAAGTTGAACGTTGCTGGAGGTTTTCCCGTGTTACAAGGTAACTAGGAAGAATATTGTCCCGCGTGACACAATATTACACAGCGTAGGCGATTTTCGTAACTTGTACATAATGGCTTTCTTTAGCAATTAACATTCAAGTCAATTCACGTGCTATACATAGCCTTTAGCGCTGTAATCAAATATCCTTTGTTTGAGAATAGAAAATATATTGTTGTATTGTTATAAATTAGCGGTGTTTCTATGTTGAATGTTCATCGCAACAAAATAGTTAATGTCTTTTCAACTTAGATATAGAATTTGCCATCTATTACTCTTGGAATGAGCTGCATTAGAAGTGGCAGTGAAGTAAATAAATGAGGCAAGAAAATACGATGTTTCATTTTCTCCAATATTTTTTAGCTGGTACAAGCAACTTGTAGAGCTAGGGACTTTTGCTAGGGTGAAGCTTTGATTTAAGACGAGTTTTTTGAGAGGGCCTCTCCATCTTTTCATTGCACAACTCCCCTGGATGAAATTAAACTGTGGAAGCCTGACATCAGAATTTTGGTATTTTGCTTTGGAAATTACAAACAAAATCTATTTTACCCAAATTTGATTGAAAAAATTCTCCAAGAAATTTTCCATTAAACTAAATTGCATGTTCTTCGCAAACTGTTTAAAATATATAGACACTGTGTTTTTCTGAATTTTGAGTTTAAAATCTTGAATATTTGTCAATCTCCATCTACTCTTATGAAACGTATGCAGCAAAAATGCCACATCTTTCAAAGGTCTGAAACTTTCCAAATCAACATTACGTAATTGCAGATCGTGCCCAAGCCCCAGGCAGTAAGTGGAGAACACTATCGGTTCCTTATTGCTCTGGACACCCCCGCGTCGTCTAAGTTCCTTTTCGCGCATGACGTGAGAAAACTCCTTCAGACACGACGACGCAGAGCGCGGAAGCCACGTATCAGAAGTACCGCAAATGCCGCATTTCTCCAGAACGGCAATATTTCGCCTCAATTAGCGGTGCTGTAGTCATAACAAGATTCTTTTTGTCTCTTAGGGTATAATTATGCTTAGCGAAGGGTTGCATCACAAACCCCAAAAATGTATATAAGATCACGAACTTCAACTCTTCCAACAAGAAAAGCCAAGCCTTCCTAGCAGTTTTTGTTACACTCTTTTGTATAAGAACACTGAGGCTCTATTTGCCAACAGCGTAAGCAAAATTTAAGAACATGGCCAGCCTCAGATGAAAACGTTAATAATAACGATTCTTCTCATAAAATGACCCTTCTCAGGTAGTACTCTTCATTCAAAGCCCTATGATTGAAATATCCTATCGCCAAGGTAACAAAGTCGGCATGGTTCGCAACTGCGTCTTCTCATTTGTCTTTCTTGCAATGTCATCACAGCATAGCAATACCTTGAATTGCTATGCATTTTTGCCTTCTATTTCAATACCCACGCAGTTTGCCTTTCATCTTTGATATTGCAGCAATGAACCTCTCTATCCCCTTTTTTGTATAAGTCGACTTTTAGATCCAAAATTAAACTTGCTTACACTGAAATACTTGCAAGTTGGACCTTTTGAGCGTAAGGTAAGGCACTTTTAAAAACATTTTTAAAATAAAGAATACTCTAGTGCTTCCTATCCACAATGCCTGACTACCAATATGCATAAATATGGACCTTTCAGGGTCCGTTTATCACTTGACCCTTTAAAAATTAACACTATAAAACATACTGCCTTTGAATGAGCCATAAATAAAATCCTGACTATATACCTATAATGAAAAAGCACAAGAGAGATGCGTTATCGCCAAAAGAATCAACGTCCCTTTTTCACTTACTAGTTCACTGCAACATAGGCAATCCTTTTTAAATTCTAAATGTAAATTTAATTATGTCTCCATATTTCATGAAAAAGTCAAATCAAAGAGAAAAAAAGATGCAAGTGAAATATAGAGCTGCTGATGACCTCATTTTGCAGCCAAACCCTCGTAGTTTAAGATATCACCAAAAATAGTAGTAAGAATTATTAAGAATAGAAGGCAATCTTTGCTTACCTGCCAAACCTTGAATCTTTATTACGGTAATTCACTAAAAGTTTCTTCCAAAAAGTCTTTGTGGTTTCAGCTCTTGACGTTCGATCTTCTTATGTCGATTGAAAAGTGTTTATGATCGATTCAGGGTAGACGACTGCAATTTAAAAACAATTAAGACACCACGATTTAACAACCTGACTGGTAAACTACCCCAGACGCCTTTGCGGGCACGTCGTACAAAGAATTCCGGTTTGGCGGTCTGTAATTTTCTCGTAGCTTTAGAAAGTAATTAACAGTCGCTAGGACTGTGTCATTCATGTAGCCTTGTTTATGTTTGCGTCACAAAATAACCGGCGCTTCACAGCCGAAGATCAGCCTAAGCCACCCCGCGTTTGCTTGTTAACCCGATGTGCTGTTTTTCACGGCGACTGTAGTGTATTGGCACTCCACTCTGTACTTGGAAATCCAGCCATACCTGCGCAATTTCATGTGCGTTCTATTGCGTTTGTTGTGTTCATTATGACGTTTGCCTGGCAAGCAAAGTGTTTACCCGTTTCCTTAGAATTATAAGATTCACTATAAGAGAGTTTGTTGAGGTTAAGGGCTGCAAGATAATTATGTTAATGAAGAATCTGTTAATGGTGAAAATGGTCATGATTTTTTAGCAGAAATGGTCGAAAAAGATTCAGAGCACTTTGAAAAAGGCATTACTATTTTTGGTGTGCAAGGCTAATGGGCTGATCTTAACTTGGCAGTAATTTGAGCGGTCTCTACTCAGTTGTTAGCTGCTTCAATTCTGTTTCTATAACGTCATTTTCACCAAAATCTAAGAAGTCATATCTTTTGACAGGTTTGTTTTACGACATAGGTTTCTTATTATCTTTTGTTCATTTATAGACGTTCTTTCGAACAATGCCATTGGTTTTAAGATTAGATGAAAACAATTTTTTATGACCGGGAACAATGAAATGATTGATCACGTGACCATCAGCCCCCTAATTTTAGGGCCCCTGACGGATTTTGAGTCAAAGACCCAATAGGATCATATATCAAAAGAAATAAATCCCGGTTACCCTGTTTGCTAGATTGGCAGATCAGAGATGCAATTGGCAGATCACTAGAACTTCGTAAAATATTGCTAGATATTTTCATCCAAGCAGCCACTTGTGCGTTCTTATTTTATAAACTAGATTTTCCGCGTTTCAAACGATTTCATTTCTGTGCACTTGTTCGATTAATGTACCAACTAAGTCGCTACTCCAATCAGTTATTGAAGTTGCTATAGATTTGATTTTGGCCATTTTTTTTTTTTTTTTTTTTTTTTTTTTTTTTTTTATATTCACATAAAAATTTACAACGACAACAATTACAATACAAAAGCCTAGGGAGCATGGAAATGCATAACAACCCTAAGACTTACACTTAACATAGAGATACAATTTTTACAATAATATGCTACAAAAGTGATTGGAGTGGCGTCGCCCATCGTTCCAATAGCGTTGCAGATATGACAAATACTCACAAAAGCTATTTTTAAAAGAAGATATCAAGTCTACCTATGTTTCTTGTTAATCAAACAGATTTGTGCCCAGACATGATGAGTGACACCACTCCAATCGTAAAAGGAATAAAATTTAGACAAAAGAGAAAATAATTTACACGAGAGAGGTTTTCACGAGAAAGTTGATAACTTACTGGAACCGTTCTGAGGCCTGAATGTATTTTAATGTTACATCAAGAATGTTTGTATTTGAATCAAAAGGTAACTTTTCATGGCCATAAAGGAGTATTTGCAATAGTTCTTTGTTTGGAGGGTTAGATAGGCCATGAGGACGCAATATTGTATTAACGCTGTCGAGAAGATCACGTCTGTGTATGTCATAGGCACTGCAGAGCAGCAAAAAGTGCTCCGTATCCTCAATACCATCATTTATCAGGCACAGGGGATTAAAAGTATCCCTAAAATTATGTTTAAATTTGTGGTAATTTAGCTTACTTAGTCCAACGCGTAGCTGCGTTAAAACAGATAAAAGTTTTGGATCATGAATTCCGTAGACCGATTTGGAGGGTGGACGAATGAGTCCTAGAAGCTGTTTCTTGAAAACATTCACTGAGCGGGATTCACGAATTTCAGGGTCAAGTTTTTCCCATTCCGACAAGCAGTTTGGGTAGAAAGTTGATTTAAATCTTTCTGTTCTCGCATGTATTTGCCCTATTGTAGCTTGCCTGCGCAGACTGTAGTTTGACTCCTGGCGTTGGGGTATAGGATTTCTTGTGTAATCCGGAGTTAAATTTTTCATGATTTTATAAAAGAGGACAAGACGTCTACTCCATCGACGGAGGTCGAAAGACTCCCAGCCAAGCTCTTCATATATTTTTTCACGTGATGTGCCCTTCCAAGCGCCAGTTACTGGTAATGCAGCAGAATATTGTACAGCCTCAAGTTTCTCCATTTGATTAGTTAATTCAAAGCTATGACTAAATTCACATGTTTTATGAGGGATATGATATATAACGTCACCATAATCCAAGTGTGGCCGGAAATACAGTTTGTATATTTCGTTAAGGGTGTGTCGTGGTTAGTATTTTGAGAGGAATCTCAACATCCCTATTCCTTGTCTAGATTTAGAAATAATTGACTTGATGTGACTAGTAAAGGACAATTTACCTAGTATGATTCCAAGGTGCTTTTGTTCCTGGACGTTCTTTACAGGGACATCATTAAAAAATATGGGTGGGTGATTCATTGGAATTCTCTTTTTAGAAAAGGTTACTTCAACTGCTTGCTTGTTGGGCCTTTTTAGTTTGCAATGCGAATTCAGATGAAAAACAAAACTTCCGAACACGTCAAATTCGGATGCGAACTG